TCCCCTAAAATTAATCGTTTAGATTCTACAGCCTGTCAAAGTTGTAAAAAAGTCAATTTTCAACTGTCAATATTTCCGAAACAGTTGAAGATAGGTATAGGCCATGATATTAATGATGGATTGAATGTAATATAGACATAGGATGTAGAATTTAGGTATCTTTTTTAGTATTTAAAGATTGTTGCGGATATCAAATTCTGTATTATTGCTGTGGCTGCATATACGGGTGTTCAGTCATCTAGATGCTAAGCTGCAATATTATTTGCTTCTCGATGTATTATCGGGGTATTTACTATACTTGTTTGCTAACTAGCATGAATTTCCATAGTTACCCTAAGTTTACAATTGAAATAGTTACTATTATGTAAATGCTCTAGATACATGAAATGTGTTCAGAATTTAACGTAGAATTTAAAAATGAAATAAAAAATTGGTGTTTTCATTTAAAAAAATAAAGTTAGCTGTCATAACTTGTTTTCGGGTCACCCTGTATATATGGTATTATCATCATAAAAACGGCTAATAAAATCAAAAATTGACGTGTCTGAGGTTTTTTGAAAAATATTCACCCTGTATACTTTATAGATTTTATTCCATTTCTTTACGTGCTCACTGTATAGAATTTCCAAAAAATATATAAAATTAGATTAACTTAATGCTACTCGCACTGTGTTTATTTTGTGCATAAATGAAATCGAAATAGAGCATAGATAGGACAGATAAATACTACCTTCCCTACCCTACCTATAGTAGCTAATTTTAACAAAATAGAATTCATAAGTTGCCTTGTGGGTTTTAAATAGTAACTTAGATTTTGTTCCTAATATACTGTACCTATACCTAATCTACCTGTCCTCATGCATTGACCAAGAATGTTCCAATTTCAAGCTTTTAAGGAAGGTAAAATTACTAGTTTATGCTGTCCTTTATCCTAGTCTTTCCCAATGACATCAAAACACAGATAGACGGATCATCCCATTCATAAACTAATATTTGTTGTGTTGACAAGACCACCTATGGGCCAGGGGAGGTGAGTTGCTCGCGGGGTCGGGGTGGGGAGACATCATTGCTCAAAATGGTGTAAAAAACCCCGCCCACACGTGAATATATCTCAAAATTTAATTGGATGAATAAATAAAATAACAAATTGACAAATAAACTGAAAATATTCAATACGAGCCCTTTATTCTGGGAGTATCAATATCGTATTGGTCGTTTCTTGTTTAACGCTAATAAATAATCCCTGTTTGCGATAAAGATAGCTAGCTACTCCAACCAACACCTGCCTGCCATTCAACAAGCCGCTTTTGGGTGGTGTTTTGCTACAATCTGCTGTTGCCAAATTGAGTTCAGAAATAAAATTGAAAACGTTAATTAGAAAAGGAGAAAAATATATATTATTCAGGGATTCAAGACAAAATTTGGCATTCTCAGTGGTGGGGATAGCAGAAAGACCCAAAAGAGACAGAGAGATGTTGTCATGCGAAAATTTTGTTTATTGTTCCGTCTATCTGTGTTTTGATGTCATTGGTCTTTCCTCAATCAATCAATCAATCAAAATATACTTTATTGTCCGAAAAACAAAAATAATTTTCCATTGACAAAGCTTTAGTTCCTAAATACTAGAGTAAAACATTTAAACAAGTGACTAAATAACGTAATTACAACAGTCAAAATAAATACATAAAATTAAAAATATCCAACAATACAGTAGCTAAAAAAAACAAAACACAAAATAAAATTTTTGGTCAACAGCATCTCCTAATATTTATTTATAGTAAAATTTTTATACAAAAAATACAAACTATGTTATCCTAAACTATTATCATCAAAAAATTCTTGCAAACTATAATATGCTTTTTTACACAAAAAACTTTTCAAAGCGGTTTTAAACCTTCTTAGTTCTTTAATTTCTCTTAGGTGAACAGGTAAATGATTAAATATTTTTTTACTTTTATAAATTACTGAGTTCTGTGTCAAAGAAGACCTCGGGATCGGCAACGAAATTTTTAGTTTCTGTCTAGTTTCGTAGGTTCTTGAGAGATCTATTTGGTCATAAAATTTTTTATGCATTAAAATTGCTGTCTCTAGGATAAAAATACAGTAAACTGTCAAAATTTCATGTCTCAAGTAAAGTGGTCTACAATGATCTCGATATCCTCTTCCACACAGAAATCTTATTGCCCTTTTTTGTACAATAAACACCGAATCAAAAAGTGTCTGCGAGCAACATCCCCAGAAGGCTATGCCATACCGGATGTGAGATTCTACTAAAGAGAAATATACCATTTTGGCAGAATTATGGCCAAGCTCGTTGTATACAGTTCGTATGGCATAGCATCCGCTAGCCAGTCTATTGTTAAGGTTGTTGACATGCGTGGAAAATTTGAGCTGGCTGTCAACATGAATCCCAAGGAACTTGCAGTTGGACCTGTTTTCAATTAATTGAGCATCTAGGTAGAGGTCATTGTGAATAAATTTGAATGTCATGAGGTTGGTTTTTTTTGTATTAAAGCACAGTAAATTTGCGTCACACCATTCCTTAATTGTTTTTAAGTCCCTTGAGACTGTGTCCTTTAAAGTTTCAAAATTTTTCCCTCTCCAAGAAAGAGTGTTATCATCTGGGGAACCCTTGGGGAACGCCATTCGATATATTTAAAGTTAGAGATTGTGTAGAACCGATTTTTACATACTGTTCTCTTTTTGAGAAATACGATTTGAACCACATCAAGGAGACTCCTCTAAAGCCGTAAACATGCAATTTTTTTAACATAATTTCATGGTTTACACAGTCAAAGGCCTTAGAGAAGTCACAGAAGACTGTGGCGACCACTTCATCCTCATTCAAAGCTGTGAAAACATGATCTAAAAGATTAAAAATTGCGTCGTGAGTGTTTTTGGATGGTTGAAAACCAAACTGAGAATCACTTAAAATATTAAGTTTATTCAGGTACTCCAACATTCTTCCCTTGACCAATTTCTCTATTACCTTTGAAAGTGTTGAAAGCAATGATATCGGGCGGTAATTTTCGGGCTTGTCAGTTTCACCTCCCTTATGTATTGGAACAACAACTGCTGTTTTAAGAACGTCAGGAAAATTGCCCAATTGAAAGGAGATATTTATACACTCAGCCAACACATAGAGAGCAGTCTCAGGGAGATTCCGAAGTAGTCTAACTGAAATGTTGTCACAGCCGCTTGATTTCGGATTTTTTATGTCCCTAAAAATATTTCTCAGTTCACCGATATTTGTAGGTTGTAGCTCAAATGTACCATCTATTTTTACATCAGACAAATACGAAAGAGGATTTATGTCACTTTTCAGACCCGATTGCAGGTTATTGGCAACTGTACAGTAAAAGTTATTCAGAATATTAGCATCCACATTCACCCTTGACCAGGGATAAGGGTCCCTACCCGTTAACTGGTTCACAAGTTTCTAATTTTCCTTGGTTGAGTTATTTGAATTTTTAATTTGGTCGCGGTAAAACTTGTCTTTTGCAGCTTTGATAAGTTTTTTATATGTTAACCTGTATTTGGCAAAGTAACAGAGAAAACGGGGATTGTTTGTGTGCTTTTTTATTACTTGAAGAGATCTGAAATTTTTCGAGGATATTTTGATACCCTTTGTCACCCAACTCTTTCTGTTGATTTGTTTGATTTTCTGTAGTGGAAAACATTTAAGAAAAGTACCACTTATTTTGTTTTGAAAAGACGCAAGGGGAGATTCTGTGTTTAACACTTCAAACCAGCTCAAACCCTCAGTGGCAGACTTAAACTTATAGTAGTTCTTCCGACTAAACAACCTACCTAACCTATGCTTTCGCCCCTTAATCGGCCCTAGGCAGTGAGTCCTTGGAGGCGCTTCCACTCATTTTTGGAATTGGCATAATTGTGCTTCTAAGTAGAATTTTCTACACTCTAACTTATGAGCGAGCTTTTGAGAGCTCTTCTTGAGGAAATAAATAAAAAAGAAAACTCTCTAAATAAGAACAAGGACTTTGAGGCATCAAGGCCGAATTAGGGTAAAATCTTAGTAAAAATCACTGATGATCACTTTGTAGAGCAGAAACGTCAGCCAATCATACTTAAGAGGTATATCGTTGGAAAGGGGAGGGGATAAGGGGCACTTTCTCAAAATTACATACAAAATCCAGGTCCGTATTTAAAAAAATAAATTGATGATACCTAGTAACTCGATCACGAAACGTCGGATTTAAAATTTGAAGATGCCTTGTTGTAGACTGAAAAATATCGGGTCTTCAAAAAAAAAACCAATCGAAGATTGCTTTGTCTACGAAAACGTACGTCGCATTACTGTTTCTTTATTCGTCAGGATTTTTGACAGGACATTTTGACATTAAATTTCATTGACAAAATTAAAGACAAATATTGCTAAGACATACGTTTAAAAAACCATAGCAATCTTTGATTGGTTTTTTTTTTTGAAGACCCGATATTATAAAACTTTCATATTTAGGTAAATTGTGTCTCAAAAATCAATAGTTTTCGAAATATTTGCTGAAATAATATTTCTAGGCGTTTCTTAGAAGTCATCCTCTATTTCATAAGCTAAAAGGAATTTGGCAACACTGTAAACGAGTCTTGAATGGGCATCACAAAAGGCAACTTTTTTCTAATTTAACCCACCTTACAGCTATCACCGTTTCAGATCTATCAATAGTGCTATCACTTAAAATGTACACTCTGTATAATTTTTAGTATCAATTCCTAAAAATCAGTGGGATTAATTTTAATAATTTTTCAAGAAATTATCAATTTACCTTTTGTGAACCAAATGAGTAGGATAGAATCAATAAACCATCATCAATCCCACATGGAGTCAGCAGAGTAAAGATTATCTCAATAATTTGCTTAGCGTTACACCTGTGGAAAATTAAAATCAAGCTGAGTCCGTTGGTTTTGCCGTTCTGGTGAACCAATAAAAAATTCAGCTTAGATTGTGTTCTTGGCAGTAGGTGTATTTTTTTTTGTAACTTATGCCACAGTCTAAGATTATACATTGTTATAGTTTATTATCAATATTGCAAAATAAAAGTCAATACTACATTTATTTCAATAATAAAACCATTATTTTACTTTATCAGAGAAATCTTCGTTGCTTCTCCTTTGCCAAACTCTACTACAATGTTGGTGACTATGAACAAACCATCAGATATGTTACGTCATACCTGAGTATAAAACCCAAATCACCAGAAGGTCATAATCTACTGGGTAAAGCATTGGAACGATTGGGCAAAAAGCAGGCGGCCCTTGAAGCATATAAAGCCAGTCTACAGCAAGATCCTAGACAAAATAATTTAGTTCTCAAAGGTCAGTTTTCACATACAAAATAATAAATATACTATTGATTCTATTTATTTGTAGTTTGTGAATTGATGGCTCAAGATGATGTAGATGTTGAAAAATCCGGTGCACAATATTTTCATGATTTGGCTCAATCATTTGATCCCAGAAATCCGATAGTATCAAACCTGAAAGAAAAACTCATTTCAAACGGAAGTAAAGATCCTAATGAAATTTCACAATTTTTACTGAAAGAACTTGAAAATAGGCCCACAGATGTAAATTTGAGAGTGAAACTTCTCAAACACTTTTTGGAAAATAATATGATAAAGGAAGCTTATAAGCATGCCTATGATATTGAACAAAAAAAACTGGGCATTTTTGACAGTAGCATCGCCTGGTATGAGATATTTGCAGAAGTTTTGGTCAGATACCAGAGAGATGCAAGCATTTCAACACAACTCACTTGGGAATTTTGGTTTTTGTCAACTTCTGTATTGGAAAAACTTGCTGCACTGTCTTTAAGCGATCATCTTGAAAATATGAAGACCACAGAGTATATAACAGCAGTTTTCAATTTCGATCAGTCCTTACTTAAAGTCAGCCAAAATGTAGCATCATGCCCAGACAAGTCCCTATTAAAAGAATTCCTCAATCATTTTGAAGCTCAGTTATGCTTGCATTTGAGTGTTCTAGCTTTTAAGCAAGCCAAACAGGATTTGATGACTTTTAAGGAGGTAATAATTGGTTTTAATTTATAAAATGTTTATAAAATTAACATTGTGGTTTTTTTAGGTGGAAAATCTAGTCCTCCCATTGCTTTTTATTGCTTATAATATACCAGTGCCTGACACCCAAGCTATTTGGTTTAATGTTTTGCCAGAAAATAGAAGATTATTAGTGACTGGATGGTATAAGGAGGCAGCATTTAGGTATGTAGTTGATTTATTTATAAATTAATACACCAAAAAGTCTTTATGAAACCTTATTGTGAATTCCAAACCAAGTACTTAGTAATTCATTATAAATTGAATAATTGTTTCAGGTGCTCACAAGCTGGCAATATTTTGCTAGGTTTGGCTAAGGATAGAAGAAATATTCTTTTGGAAAAAGCCCATCAGTATTCCACTGGAATTTGGAGAGAGAATGTTTATAAAAAGGTATTTTTAAATTTAGTGTGTAATTTTTTTCCACTAAACAGTTTTTTTTTAGATTTTTGTCAAACGCGATCAGCAAACAAAAGCTAACACTAGTTTTTTTGTTGCATCAAGTCTGGAACCTACCATCAAACTACCAGATTTAATAGATCTTATTAAATATAATGAGGTAATCTGATTTATTACTAGGGAACTACAAGTGTTAAATATTTCTTAACTGTGATTTTTTTTAGATTGCCCAAACTGTTACCCCAAGCTCTCTTCATCACTACATTTGGTTAGCTCTCAACTACCAAAATCTATCAGAATTCTCACTGAAATCTTTTGATGGTCTACAATACACTGTTAAAAATTTAGCTAATTGTGCAGCAGAAACACTGAATATTTTAGATGTCCAAAGTTTCATTTATTGTGCCACTCTTTGTGCACAGTCCAGGATCAAGAATGCTGACAGTACAATAACATATTTTCAAAAAGATAGGTAATAGCATTTATTTTGTTTGTCCACGATTTATTTCAAATATCTCTGTTTGTTTAAGGCCTCCAGTATTACCAATTTCAATAACTGGAAATTTGGGAACACTTAACCAAGCTAAATTTTTGCAAGCAGCTTATAAGATGTACAAGCATGAATATACTTCTGATATTGGAGCGATCAGATTAGTGCTAATAAGAGGAATTGAGGTACGAAATGATATTTAGTTTGATATTTTTTGGCAATTTTTTGTGAAATGATTAATGGCGTATTCGACTACCGGCACTAGTGCGCACTCGGCTCGCATTTTGCGAGTGCAGTGCAATAATTTATGTTCGGGTTGATTCAGCTCATAAGATAGCAAACATTTCTCGTGTTCGACTACCCGAGCTAAGCGCGGGCAGAGCAATACTTTATGTTCGGGTTGTTAGCGTGGTTCGTCCAGCGTTCGAACTTTTTGGAACTGTAATTTTTGGCGGTTCAAGTAGATTGCAATTGTTATCATTATCATTAGCTGCAGATGTATTTATCATCACCATTTGCATCTACAACATGACACAAATACTTGCCATCTACCATAACTATTGGCTTATTTTCATCATATAATACTATTTCTGTGAGTTTTAAAATAGACATTGCCGGAAATTGAATCGGAAATCCGAAATAAATTTCAAAATTTATCAATTTGAACTTAGAAGTTAGGTGAAATTGGAGAAAAAGTAAACGCAATCCAAGTGCAATAATGGAGCACACACGAACGCTTCAACTCGGATTTTCAGGAGGCCAGTTCACTTTTTTTGACAATTCGCACTGACCCAGCGCGCGATCGAATCGCCACATACCGTTCTTGATTTCAGTGCAACTGCACCATCATTTTTCGAACTTGATCGGAGCCAGAGCTGTGTAGTCGAATACGCCATAAGTAGTGTGTTTATTGTGTAGTTTCTTGTCACATTATTTTGCATCAAACTTTAAATGACGCCTGCTGCAACTGCTAGTACTTTTTGTCCTAGAATCTACACTACCTTTTTTTGTCATTCTGGTATTATTTTCTTGTCAAAATGATTTTTCAATTCAAAATTTTACTGTAAATAAACTATTCTTTGCCAAATCTAAAGTAGCCTTTATCACTGTTGTTGGCTAACAACTGCATACTTTCAGGTTATACGTTGTGCAGGAAATCATGGGCTCGACGTAAAACTTCTAGTAACATTGGCGTCTACATTTGCAGAAAAAGTCAAACATTTAACTACCCAAACTGAAATTGATGGCAGCTCAGCCAGGGCTGAGTTATATTGGAAAACAGCATTGCCGCTATTGGACAAATTGAAAAATCAACACCCTCTAGTTTACCCCAATAACAGAATGTTTGAATATAAAAGTAACAAGGAATTGAGCCAGGATGAAATAGCAATGTATATTGAAAAAGCTAAAATCTTCATAGGTAAGATTTTTTTTTTAGAAAATATCTAGAGTTAATTTGACTATTCTTATTTTAAGGCATTCAGTTCATGAAGAAGAAGGAATATGAGCGAGCAATGGACATTTTTGAAGGCCTTAAAGACCCATATGCCAGTTTTTATCAGTCACAAATTTATAGGCACATGGCCGATGCCAAAACCAACCATCACAAAGAAAATGTGACTTCAGAAATGAGAAGCCAAAACATCATTCTTTTGTCAAGGTAAAAAAATCTTAATTATAACAAATAACAATTTACAATAATTTTACATCATAGGGCACGTGATTGCTTGTATTTAACTTTGGACCGCCTCAGAGAACCATCACAGGATAAAGACCACCCATTAAATGCTCAATTAGGGACAGAAATTGAAAAAACTGAAAGGCTTTTGTCAAGGATTGATCCAGATTGTACTAACAGAAATGAATGTGATGGTAAGCTTATTAATTTTGAAGATTTAACAATAGTTTAATATTTTTATTCACTAAGGAATGTCTGATGAAAATGTCTCTGATGACTCAGTAGGTGAACATTATCTGAGCACCTACACACACCATACAAGCTTCCCTAATGGGCGCGATTTGAGCGCAAAAAATGACACTTTGCAAATGCATTCTACACCCATTAGATTTCCAGTGCACAGGCAGGAAGCTAGACCCAGTCCAGAAAGGTAAATAAGAAAATTTTCTTAGTAATTTTTCAAATAAAATCTCATTTTTGGGTATTTTTTTCCAGGTTGGATGCCCAGTTACGTCAATTAGTTGCCTCAAAAGATTTGGTTATCAACAACGTGATGGAGCAAAACAGAAGGATGATGACTGAGCTTCAGCAATGCTTGACTGATGAAATTAGAGACGCCCTCAAAAATATGACTGTTACTGTAAGCGAGAAGACTCAAGCATCCACTGGTAAGTGAAAATGTTCCAATAAATCAAACTATAAGATAATACGAATGAAAAATTCAAACCTATTGACAACACTGAAGTTTATGAACATGCGAATTGCTTTTCGCCAAACAAGGAAAATTGATCTTAGCATTGCATGAGGGGCAAATTTTTTCAGTTTAAATAAAATAAGCATCCTCTATCTTTGGGAATTTTGGGCTCTCCTACAAAATTTAAAAAACTTTGCAGCACCCAGAGTGTTTTGCATTACAATCCCATCAAAATATGCTTTCTGGTATTGAAACAAAGCGTATTTCATAAATGTGTGGTTGACCTATCACCACATTTGTTTGTTGACAAATAATAAAATAACTTTTTAAATAGGCCTGGTATAATGTGTTTGCAATTTGAGATGCGCATTTATTAAATTACGTTAGGTGGAATACTAGGTTTTCATCAGTAATATTAGTTGTTTACTTTGCACTTGTCGGTTCGCAGTATTGAATAAAATGAGTGAAGAAAACGGATATTTTCTACAATTATTAAACGGAAAAGATGAAACAATAAAAATATTACATGTTCTAAAGGAAAGAAATAATACTGTCGGAGTTTTGGAAACCCCCATTTGCTTTCTGCAAAGTAAAGGAATTATTCAAAAGGAAACATTATGTGAGTGTTATGGCAACATTTTCATAAATTTCCATATTTTGTTTTGTCCCTTATCTTAAACTGGCTTCAAATTATCAGCTCTTATCACATGTTCCAACATAGTCATATAGCAGCAAATAAAATAAGGCAAATTAGAAATAATGTATGAGGTAAAATATTTGTTTTTTTTTTTCAACAAACAAATGGAAAAGCCACGGAATCTTCACTGAAAAGACAGACAATCGACCGTAATCTTCAAACTCTTGAAGATTTCAATTGGTCCAAAATGTGTTCGTGATCCTGGGCGATCTAAAATATTTTTAGAGTGACTTGAACAGCTTGAAAAAGCTTATCTATTATGATTTTATGTGGGAACAAGTCTTGTGTACTTTTCAGGTAGCATAGGTGATGTCAAAAAAATGATAGACGAACTCACCAATTCAGTTGACGACCGTCTCCAAAGTATAACTGATGTGGTGCAAGAAATGAGAAAAGAACTGAACGACATCAAAAAGGAACAAAGTAAAAATGCCCAATTGAGTGTCGAAGACTTGTATGAATTAGGTAAGTCCAAATTTAATTAATGCTACTTGTTTTTTAATGTTTTGTTTTAAGATCCTGACTACAATTCTTCTATAGACTACAACTTGGCTAGCAATATGGGGGGAGCTCCACCATCAAACCTAAATTCGATGGCTAATAACATGTATCCGAATTACCAAAGACTTCCACAAGGTTATTTGTTACCTAGATTTATTATTTTTCTGTTATTGATAGCTTTTTTTTAGCTCCTGCCCCAAACCTAGCAGCCTATGGCGGTCAAGGATTATATCCTGGTCTCTATCCAGGTTTTTCCTATCCTTACGGACTTGGCTTACCTCAAGCAGGATTACCATTTCTACCACCACCACCTGCTGATCAACAAATGCCACCATTGGGCAGTATGCCAGGTATGATGCCACCATTATATCCACCAATGAATCCACCTCTGGCCCATATCGCTTCCCAGTCGCAATCTATTCCGAACCAAGCAAGAGACAGTCCTAAGCCAGCTTATTCTGCTGCTAGCTTAGGGCAAACTGGATTTGGTGTTAGTCAATGTAAGAAAACCTAATTCAGGAGCGTAAATTAGTTGATAATAATGTTTGTTTTTTAGCTTCAGTGATTCAACCACCTCAAGGCTTACTACAGGTGAATGAAAGTCCCAAACTGCCACTATTTCCATCTGCAGCTCCTGGCTCCTTTGGTCAATCTGGATTTTTGGGCCAGAGCTTGAGTATTGCTAGCCCTGCAAGCACTAATGTGCCTTCCTCAAAAGCTCCGCCTGTAAATGTAGTGATTACCTCTTCAGATCCATTGCCAACATTCAAAACTACTACAGCTCAACCGATTTTGTCTGTTACTATACCTCCGCAGCACATCAAAGGAAATGTGCAAAAGCCTGTTGCCCAGACAGTTTCTTCTGCTTCTCAAGCGCACAATTATTATATACCTTTACCATCTACTAGTGCAACAGCTACGACACCATCTATACTAAGTCAACCTGCTCCTCTTATTACTACTCAGAGTTTGTTAACCAATGTCCCTAGCCCAATTTATTCTGCTATTTCTAAGACTCCATCTAAAAATGTGTCTTTGGGTAAGATATTTTTTTACAAGTGATTTTTTGGGTTAATGTTTCATTTATTAGGTATAGAAATTGAAAAGGCATTGGATAAAACATTTGCCACGCCTGATAAAACTAATACAACCCTTAATAAAAGCAACATATCGACAACTTCAAATGATGAATATGATCCTAGGCCTGATTTTCAACCAATTATACCGCTTCCTGATGAAGTTCCAGTAAATACAGGTATGTACTTAATTTACATTATTTTGGTATTGTTTTTTTTTATGTATCTATGTGATTTTTAAGGAGAGGAAAAAGAAACCGAACTTTTTTGCCAGAGAGCCAAATTGTTTAGACTTGCCCTTGTCAATAATGCAAAAGAATGGAAAGAAAGAGGTATAGGTAACATAAAAATCCTCTATAACCCTGAAACTGGTAAAGTGAGATTACTAATGAGACGCGAACAAGTGCACAAGATTTGTGCCAATCACTTTTTGACAGAAGATATGGCATTGACTCCAATGTCCAACAATGACAGGGTCTATATTTGGGCCGCACATGACTATGCAGATGGGGAATTGGTGGTAGAGAAGTTTTGTGCCAAATTTAAAACAGCCGAGGAAGCTAAGAAGTTTGCAGAAGCTTTTAGTTCAGCCAAAACTAAAATTACTGAAAAACCATCTGGCACTGTGGAAACAGCTGAAACCAAGAAGTCATCCGCTCCAAGTAAGCAACCAGCTTTTTTTTTATAATGCGACTTTTATTCAGAAAAATATTATTTATGTTTTCATTGTACTAGATTTTTCTAAAAACATGAGTTTCGTTTTTAGGCACTCCCAAAGTAGAAGTATCCTCAGCAACCGCGGCCTGCAATTTAGGAGGATTCAAATTTGTCAGTGCCCCAACATTTAAGCCTACAGATTCACCCAAACCTGCACCCAAAGTGGAAGAAGTCAAAGACAAACCAGCTCCAGCCAGTCCGTTTGCAGCGTTTAGTTTCGGTTCCAAACAAACAGGAACCCCTGTTAAAAATCTTTTTGAAAATCTAGAACCGGCAAAGTTTAGTCCGCTTGTTGTGTCACAAAATAATTCGAAAGTTGAGACTCCTAAACAAGGTGAAGATGAGGTTGAAGAGTTTGTACCTACTGCTAAATTTAAGCCTGTTGTTGAAAAACTTCCTGATTTAGTAGAAATTAAAACAGGTAATTATATTCAAGGCCAAAATATAAGCAAATTGTATCATGAAATTAATATTTTTAGGGGAAGAAAATGCTAAAGTATTATTTGAAGAACGGTGCAAACTGTTTAGGCTTGATAAAAGTGGCGAAAAAACTGAATGGAAAGAACGTGGAGTTGGTAATATAAAAATCCTCAAAGATGACTTGTTACGTTTGGTAATGAGAAGGGATCAAGTAAGAAGTTTTTCATTTTCATATAAAAATAGACCTCCTATAATTTATTATCTCATAGGTTCACAAAGTATGCCTGAACCACCAAGTGCCCAAAGACATGTCTTTTAAAAAGAACCCAACCGATCCAAAAGCGATCATATGGCATGCACAAGATTTCTCTGAAGGAATCCTTAAACCGGAAACTTTGACAGCTCGATTCAAGAATGAAGAATTGGCTAATACGTTCTTGAAAACCTTACAAAATTCGCAAATCTCTATGGACGAAAATGATGAGGTAACTGGAAATAAGCATCACAAAGCTGAAGAAGCTCCAAAAATTGGATTTGGTGAAAAGTTTAAGGCGGCCAAGGGTAGTTGGGAATGTAAAAACTGTTATATTCTTAATGAAGGTTGGGTTTTTGTATTCAAATCAAATGTATATGCTAAAAATTTTATTTTTAGGAAAAGCAAATCATTGTGTAGCCTGCGACTCACTTAAAGCTGGATCATCTCCTAAAAAGGAGGAACCTACATTCTCTTTTAGTGTGAAACCAACTTCTGATACCAGTAAAACTGAGGTTACAATAACTCCAATTGGAGGTGGTTGGGGCAATCAATTCAAAAAAGCTGTAGGATCTTGGGATTGTCAAACATGTTATGTCACAAATGCTGGAGACATAACAAAATGCATTTCTTGTGAAACACCTAAAGAAGGAACCGCTGCAGATAAGACGTCATCTTCTGGAGGCTTGAAGGGAATTTCATTGGATACAGGTGAAGAAAATTTACTTTTAGGTCGTTTTTATCACAATTTCTCAAATCAGTTGGTGAAAACCCCTATATACACATGTGTAAATAATGATTAATTTTCTTTCTAGGAGGCCAAACATTTACTTTTGGCATTCCACCATCTACAGCGAAACCTGAAAACACTACCACTGTGACTCAAAAACCAGAACAACCCCTACAAAAATTCTCGTTTAGCGTTCCACCACCTGCCACCAAAATCGATTCCACCTCTGTTGTATCCGGATTCGGTGACAGTTATAAACCTAAACCCGGAACTTGGGAATGTAAATCTTGCTACATCCGAAACGAAGCGGGTAGTTTGTATTGCTTGAGCTGTGACTCTCCTAAAGACGATTCTGTACCTAAGAAAGAGCCTACAGGGCCTAAAGGGGTAAGTAAACAAACCTACATATGTTCATACGAGTTATTAGCCTTCAAATTAAGATTCTCATCCTTATTGAAATCAAATTAGATTAGACCAAAATATACTTGTTTGTAGATCAACTTAGAAACACCTGGGATGAAATTCAATTTTGGTATGCCAGCTACCACTTCAGCATCAAATGTTACCTCGTCATTTGCTTTTGGCGATAGCAGCGCCAATAAAGTAAGTTTTTCATGGAAACCTCTGGAAACTGTTAACAAAGACGATGATAAAACTGATGACCAGTTTGTTTTCGGGTCGCCCCAGAAACATGATTTTGATTTTAAACCTAGAAGCCCGCGTAAAATTAGTACTGGACAAGGAGAAGAATCAGATGGTAACTAGAATCATGATTCATTGAAAAAAAAAATCATATTTGTTTATTTGTAGCTAGTTACGTAGAAGAAGAGGATGTTACTGTTTATTTCAAGCCAGTGGTTCCACTACCTGATATTGTTGTAGTTAAAACTGGAGAAGAGAATGAAAAAGTTTTGTATTCGCATAGAGCCAAACTATTTAGATTTACTAATGGAGAATGGAAGGAAAGAGGTCTGGGAGATGTTAAAATTCTCAAGGATAGTATTAATGGAAAACTTAGGTGAGATTCATGCAAATTAAGGGTACATTTGAAACTCTTCTGTAAATGTTGTAGGGTTGTAATGCGCAGAGAACAAGTACTCAAAATCTGCTTGAATCACTGGCTAACAACAGACATCGAATATTTGTCTAAGGACGAAAAAACCTGGCTTTTCCACGCTGCTGATTTTTCTGAGAGTGAGCTCATTCGTGATCAATTTTGTTTGAGATTCAAGAGCGCTGAAATTGCTCAGGAATTTAAAAAAGCCGTTGATGATGCTTTGGCTGGTAAAGATACAGAACAAAAAATTGTTGACGGTAAGGTTTGTTTTCAATAGTCTTTTTGAAATAAAGAATTTTTAATTTTCAGTCAAAACAACTAAAGAAGAGTCTGATTCAGATGTTGAGTTTGTCTCTGAAACCCAAGTGACTGCAGAGGAAGAAAAAGAAGCAGTTCGATTGGGATTGCCACCTAAATTCTTAGCTTATAGGTAAATTATTCTGGATACACAATTTTATTATTTAATTATTATTGCTTTTTTTTTTATTAGACAAAGGCCAGATTGTAGCTGCGAACAATGCAAAAAAGATGATGAATACCTAAAAGAATTATTCAACAAAGAACCTGTCAAACCAATACCAAAATCTAGTAGCTTAAACACCACTTTGTTTGGTACTCCAGTAGGTAGTTTAGGCACACCTTCATCTGGTAGTGTTTTTGGTTCTCCAGCAACCAGTTTCACTTTTGGTACTCCTAAAGATGTCACCCCCACTATTCGACAACCAAAAGCAGAGACTTTAAGAGCTTTGCTCACAAAAACTCCTGTTTCCCAAGAATCCACTATGAAAGCAGAAAATGCCACTACGCCTACATCTGCTTCTCTGGTCATGGCTGCTAATACTCCAAAGGCCACTGATAATATTACACCTAAAACAGTTCCAACATTTCCTGGTTTTGTTTTTGGAGGCTCTATTCAAAAAACTAACAACTTTGGAGCTAGCCCCTCTTCTATTTTTGGCGGCACTCCTATAGATGAAAAGATTGCTGATAAACCTAAAGAAGGAGCTAGTATTTTTGGTGGTCCACCAAAAGCGGAATCTACCATTTTTGGTACTCCAAAAGAAGGCACTAATATATTTGCTAATCCACCAAAAGAAGCTAGTATCGTTAGTGGCCCACCAAAGGAAGAAGCTTCTATCTTTAGTACCCCAAAAGAAAGTACTAATATATTTGCCGGTCCACCAAAAGAAGGAGCTAGTTTATTTGAGCTGCCAAAAGAGGGAGCTAATATTTCTGGCCAACCAAAAGAGGGAGCAAGTATTTTTAGCTCAACAAAAGAAACATCTAATAACATCTTTGCATCATCAAAAGACAACATTTTTGCTATTAAACCTAGTAATTCGGAAGCTAATTCAAGTAAGTTTGGATTTCAAATATCGTTTTGTTGTTTAATATATTGAATGATTTTAGAGTCACTTTTCACTCCCAAGAGTAATCTATTCAGCGCCCCTACAGGCACTCCAAATTTGTTCCAAAGTAGTCCAAGCTCAACTAATATTTTTGGGAGTAGCTCTGGCACGAGCCTTTTTGGAGCAACAACTGTAAGATTTTCTTGCTTAATTATTTTCATATTCACCTTAATAATTGAATTTATAGAATACAGGTTTGTTCGGTACTTCATCCCAAGGAAGCATCTTTAGTAACTCTACTACACCGTCGAAAAATCTTTTTGGACAAACAATTTTTGGTAATAAATCTGAACCCAAAATCACCGATGCCACTTTGAGTTTTGGTTCTACAGAGAGTGCGGCTTCAAATGCACCTGTATTTAAAACTGATGACAGTTTTTCATTTGCTAATTTAGCTGCAAAGGTGAGAAATACATTTTTGGTAGTTTATAGGTCTGTTCGCATAGAAATCGCAAACCAGTCGAGAGTGAATTTTATTGGTTAAAATTAGTTTTCTGACTGTTTTCAACCATTGAAATTTACTCTGACTGGTTTGTAATTTCTGTGCAAACAGACCTTATGTGAATTATTTCGAATTATACAGTAAAATTGATTTGTTTCTGTTTTCAAAGGTCAATTCTCAAACTGAGTCTACATTTACCGCTAAAAGTGACAATAAGAACCCGTTTGCACACTTAGGAGCCGGTACACCTGTGTTTGGAGGTGCTGGAGTGGTGAGTAATTTTCAAGTTTTTTTTTTTTCACAAAACAATAATTCATGAGCAAAAAACTCTATTTTCAAACCTTTTCGGATATGTATTTTGTTATAAAAGTGTTGCCACTTAAATATCAATTGCTAATTATATCATCCTCTTAATTTTTTTCTTGTATGCTTAAAATTGCTTCATGATCTCAGTAGAGATATTTTGTAGTATTTTAGACAGGAAAAAAAAATTGTGTGTTTTTTGGGGGTAATCATCATCATGTGGTGTGGGAATTATTTAAAAGAAAAAGGCTGAAAATATAACAGCAGGCGCGTACTTCAGGCTGCATGCATGTCTGCATGTATCCTTTTTTTACGTTTCAGACTAAAAAAGCAGGTAAGGCGACCTCCAATAAAGACCAATTAAACAAAACTGAAGAACAAGAAGGCTCTGACAATGAAGAGGAAGAAGGAGGTAGCGAGCACGACCCTCATTTCGAACCTATTGTACCTTTGCCTGATCAAATTGTAGTTTCCACAGGCGAGGAAGATGAAGATGTTTTATTCAACGAAAGGGCTAAATTGTTTAGGTTTGATAGCAACACCAAGGAATGGAAAGAGAGGGGCATAGGGCAGCTGAAAATTTTATATCATCCCAAAAATAAGACCTACAGGTAAAAGTGTAATTTTTTAAATACAATTAATTTTACTTCTTTTTTGTACAATTAGGATCCTTTTGCGTCGCGAGCAAGTACACAAAGTAGTCTTAAATCAAAGACTCACTCCAGATCTAGAACTGCAACCGATGTCTACGTCTGACAAGGCTTGGATATGGGCAGGAATGAACTACACTGATGAAGAGGCAAATCTGGAACAGCTTGCTGTTCGATTTAAATTCTCAGAACTTGCTGTGGCTTTTAAAAAGTGTATTGAAGAAAATATTAAAAAGGTAAATACAGACAGTTATGCAGCAAACATATATGTTCTTTGGATTATCCTTAATGCATCTATCAGTTCGTACGAAAATGAGATTGTTTTTTTTTTTTTTTGTAGCTGGTTGAAACTTTGGCCAATAAAAGTCAATCCAGTGACAGCCAACCAATCACTGTTCGTGATTTCGGTTTGGAAAACATCTCTAATGATGAAGTGCAAGAATATAATGAATACGACGAGGATGAAGATGACGAGGAAGATGATGAAGATGATAGAGCTATAATGTTTTCTAAACGTTGTACTCTAAGCCTGCAAACTGAAGCCGGATGGGAGCAGATTTGCATGGGAGAGCTGCAAGTATTTTACGATCCAGAACTTTTCGTGGCCAGAATAAATGTTATTGCAGATAATGGGCAAATTGTCTGCAACACTATTATTGGAAAGAATACTATGATGGCGGTAAGATTAGTTGATTTTTTTTATTAGTGTGAATTATTATTGATTTTTTCACAGATTGATGGCAAAGAATGTTGGTGGAAAGGTGTAGATTGGACCGACATAGATTCACCCCAATGGCAGACTTTCAAAGCCACTTTTAGTAGCACTGCAGCTGCTGAAGAATTTCATTCAAACTTTTTAGAGGGTATTTCTTATGCCCAAGAAGTGGATCTGGACGATGGGTTGCAAACAATTGATGGTGGCGCAGAAAGTGATAATTTAGATTAAATTAGATTATAAGTATAATCAAGGCATAAAATTTGTAAGGAAATTTCTGTAGGTATTACGATTTTATTATTAACAGGTCACACTGAAATTATGAAATTATTATACTATACTAATAATTATTATTATATTATTTTTTATACTTTATACAGGGTTCTTCCTTAATAGTTAACTTGATCTATTCTTTAAGGTACTGAATAGATTTCATTTTGGACTGATTAGTAATTGATACAAAAAAAAAAATGTAAACGCTTATATAGATTTAATAAGGAAAAAACCTGTAGAAACATGATATAATTAGTTTGATTTTACTAGATTTTTTGGGCTCTTTTGATGTTGGCTTTTATTCAATTTTGAAAATTTAGAAATACTATTATGTAATAGCTTTTTTTTAGTTATATTTTTATTTGTTTATCGTTTAGTTTTTGTGAAGCAATAAATTAGTGCTATAATTTTTCACTTGTATTATTCACCACACAAAATGGTTTTATAACACTTTTTCTGGTGTGGTAAAAATATGCCTGGGTCTTTTCCATGAATTTGTTGCTTATTTGGACGACATACAAATAAGGCCCAAATGTTCTATGACGCAACAGAAGCAGGAAGGCTTTAGTCCAATATAGAGGCATTTAGAAACTTACCAACTGTATAAAAGCCACGTTGAAGTAGAGTGCTCCTCAAATGGCTTCGAAACCGTGAAATATCTGAGATATTTCTGATAGTTGCAAGAAGGTGATTATAGAATTTCACCCTGTTGTAAACTATTGTTCTTGCGAGTTTTTCACAAGGGTAGAGTGTGGAATCGGGAGCGGTATATTGTGCGTCTGTCATGTGGAAAAGGTAGTTTGGTGTACAGGGAATGAAGATATGTGTTTATGTAAGAGACTTATCGATTCAAGTATAAAAAGACATGGCAATGTTGAGATGTTAAATTTTTTAAATATGGGTTTGCAGTATTCGACCAAGGAAGCACCAGCAATAAAGCGCACTTCTCGCTTCTGGAGTTTAAACACTGATTGAAACAGGTATTGGCTACAACAGCCTCAAAAAGGTAGTCCATAGGAAAGGTAGGATTGTATCAATGCAAAATACAATGATTTTGCTATGGTTGCATCCAAATTTGTGGCCACAGCTCGGACACGGTAGTAACCAAAAGCAAGTTTCCCGCCAAGTGCAGTGACATGCGATTGAAATCTAAGATCAACGTCAAGTTGAAGTCCAAGAAATCTAGTATTTAGAGAGGATTTGATGGAGAATTTGTCACAATCAATATCATCAACATTACATCGGAACCCAAGCACCCGAGTTTTACCAAAGTTAAAAAGCAGTCCAATTGCATCACACCAATACTTAATGGCCCTGATGTCCCCAGAAATCACCTGAACCAGCTCGCCAGAACTTCTTCCATGCCACACAACCGTTGAATCATCCGCGAACGCAGTGAAGACTCCCGATATATCAAGGTAGAGAAGATCATTGATATAGATGAGGAATAATATTGGTCTCAGGACTGATCCCTGGGGAACCCCACGGACGATTGGCTGATCAGAAGAACATTTTCCATCCAGGGTGACACGCTGACTGCGATGTGAAAGATATGATTCGAACCACCTTGAGATCACACCCTTAAAGCCGTAGACCTCTAACTTCCTCAGAAGAGTTTTGTGACTCACACAGTCAAAGGCCTTTGAGAAGTCACAGAACACCCCCGCGAAACATGGCATCATGGGTACCCGTCTTAGGTAGGAGTCCAAATTGGGCGGAGTTAAGAATTTTATGTTTTGATAGGAAGTCCATCATCCGTTTTTTGAAAAGCTTCTCAACAACTTTGGATATTGTTGATAACAATGATATTGGGCGATAATTTGATGTTATGTTATGTATCGGTACTACCAATGCGTCCTTGAGATTAGGTGGAAAAATGCCCGATGAAAAGGACAGGCTGATTGCTTCCGGTAGAACACCAAGGGCCGCTGTTCCGGAAGTTCCAACTTTGATACAAAAATTGTAGGATTTTTTATTGTTTACAGGCCCTTCAGTTTTTGAAATACCAACTTCATTTTTTTTAAATATGATTTTTAATTATTTTTCTCCATTTGTTTGTCTCTTCCATCAATTTTTTGTTTAGCTAAAATCTGCTGCTCTTTGTTTTTTGTCCTAAATTGAGTATTCAAATACCGAATTTATTGAGAAAAATCGATACCATTAACATTTTCGGGGCTAGTTTTATGTAATAATTGATCTCTTGATGTAGCCCCATATGAAAAATTCGATGGGGTGAGGTTGGGTGGACGAGGCAGCCAGTTTTTACCTTTTTACCAGTCCAACGATTTGATATGAAATCTCGCCTGAACGGATGCATATAACATTATGATTATGATGTGTTAATTTCCGATTGATTGATTTAATGCTTATAGTCACTCAAATGTATAATGAGTAGGCATCTTTTTCTATCAGTCTGTAATAGAATCAGATAGAAATAAATTTTCGATTCCTACATCATTTTATGAAATTTTCGGGGAATTACCGAAATGCCTTGCCCTTGCCATCGAGAAACCAATGATTACACGCCGTTGCCGCTTTTATAAAACCGTCGTTGTTGTTATTGATGTAATGTCGACTAATAATTCATCGAATTCAATTGTAAAAAAACTGCATCTTGCAACACTGGCAGTAGAACGTTTGTTCATTGCTCACGCTCACACCAACAGGTGATTGATAACAGTTCTAGTTCTCAAAATCTCCATTCAGCAGTTTCGCCACAGCTGTGGTTTCGCTCTGATTATTTCCCTGCTTAGTTTTCAGATCAACGAGTTTGGTTTGCCCAAAGTTTTAGCTATAATTTATTGATAATCACTCAGTACAATGGGTAAAGAAAACGAGTATTTGTTAAAATTATTAAAAGAAAAAAATGGAACAATTAATATTTTGGAAGGCATGCTTAAGGAGAGAAATGATGCCAACAGAGTTTTAGAAAACCGCATTTGGTTTCTGCAAAATCAGGAACACAAGAAAACATCAGGTAAGTTTTATCATTTACATATTAAGTAACTAAGTAAGGTACGTATACCCGAGGATATACCTACCTATCTCTCTTGATAAAATCTACAATCAATTATTATTTTTCCAAGAAATTTAAATAAAAAAGTTGTTCATTTCTCCACATAAGATTTTTTCCAAAATCCCCCTAGGATCTCCTATTTTCTTTGCGTTTCCTTTATCTGTTTTTTCCTTTACTCCTTCATAATTGTATTATTTTGAATATAGTTTCTATTAAGTAGGGATTTCTGTTTTTTCTTTGGTAGGTATACAGTTTATCATTTTCCTTCATCAGATTTTGATTGATCCAATCTTCACTGTTTTTCTTTAGGTATTTTTATTATCTTCTTATATTAACAGTCTTGCAAAATATTTGTCAGCGTTTTGTATAAAAAATTTGTTTCACTAAATGAGTATTTCTTTATTTACCTAAGAATCAGGTCGTTTATGCAGGGACGTCCCGAAGACTTTTTATTGGGGGGGTCGCGTAAGTAAAATTTCCCAACTGGTCTTTACTTACTAGCAGGCGCCTAGCCAGAAAATTCAGATGAGGGGGTTTTTTCGCTATTGAAATTAAGAAACATTGCATGACCATAGGGGTGTCAGAAAAAAAATTGCGCCGCAGGTGGAAATTCTGTAGAATTTCAAAGTCAAATGCTTTATATGGAAATAATAAAATTTTGAGGATCAAAAAGTAGGTATATGCTAAGACATAGGTTTCCTAAGGTAAATTTCTAGAGTTTTTAGTAATGCCCCAAAATGTCCTTCGTGACTTCACATTTTAGGTAGGAAAATTTGTTGTAAATGAGTCAATTTGGGGTCGCACGGACCCTTCGCCCCCTTTATTAACGCTACTGGTAAAATCAACATGTTTACTAAAAAACTAAAAGTCAAAAGCATGTATGTTTTTGAGATTGTTAGTATTTGTATTATAATTTTTATTTTCTAATAATTTCCAGAAGTGGTTTCTAGTTATACTTTCTTTCACCCCTAAAACTCCTCCTGTGGCTACGCCCCTGCCAAGTAGCGTTTTTTTCAAGCTTTTTTTCATATTTTTATCATTTTTTGGAATATTTTTTCATTTTCCCCGTGAATCTTTATGTTTTCAAGTGTACCGATTCTCCCAACTTGTACCCTATATCCAAACTATCCCAACTGGTTGAACTGGTTGGGGGGACGTCCTCCCCCCCCATACTTGCGTCCCTGCGTTTAAGTATATTTTCAATTTTCCTATATGAAAGTTATTATTATTATTATTATTATTATTAGTTACAACAGTAAACGGTTATGACCGATGAAACTGTTGTCATAATTTCCGTGGTTCTTTTTTGGCTTTTCACAATATTCAGCTTGTTCATTTACAGTCCGAAGTGAATGTTCACACTAGTCAGCACTTCCCGTTGATTATCTAGTCTGTTTTTGAATGAGTTAATACTTGGAGCGCTCACAGTGTTTTCCGATAATGCATTCCAATGATAGACCGATGCCGATTCTATTCCTTGTCTACATCAATGACTTGCTCTCCTTACCAGTATCTGCGAAGATGGTAGCGTTTGCTGAAGACACAAATATATTATGGACTACGAAAGAAAATCCAACCATCTTCAAGACAGTTATAGAGAACGATCTTTCACAAATTAAGGGGTGGTGTGATGCCAATGCGCTCTGCTTCAACATACAGAAAACAAATATACTGACTTTCAAGTGTGCTCTAAATGATATCATGCTACAAAATGAAACATTAGAGAATAGAACCACAGTGAAGTTTCTGGGTCTGCACATTGATTCACAGTTGAAGTTTGAGCCTCACATAAATTGCCTAACGAAAAAATTAGCAAGTGCCTGCTATATCATTAGAACTATTTCTCATCAACTTGACAAAGGAACAGCCAGACAGACATACTTTTCATTATTTGAGGCACATGTAAGATATGGGATAGCTTTTTGGGGATACTCCGTGCAAAGATCAATTCAATCAGTATTTATACTGCAAAAGAGAGCCATAAGATATCTATGTGGTGTGGGCTGTAGAGACACATGTAGACCCTTATTTAAGCAAGAAGAAATATTGACTGTACCTTGCATTATTATTCTTGAGTCTGTCAGTTTGACATTTAAAAAGTTTTCTGGTTTTGTGCAAGAGAGAGCGTATAGCCTTCGACACAATCAATTGCCCCTACCTATTCCTAGACTTGCATTGACAAAACACTCGATTATTTATGAGAGCATAAAAATGTTCAATCATTTACCCCAGGAATTACGAAACATTAACGACTATTGCCAGTTTTGTGTGTCTGTGAGGAGGTTTTTAGTCGCCAAAGCTTACTATGGTCTTAATGAATTTTACCAGGGTTAACTGCAGATGCATTGAAATCTGTAGATGCGTGTTATATATATTTATTTTTTTTATTTGTTGATGTATTTTAACTAATGATCAAATTTTATAATTGTAAGTTTGTTGGTGTATTCTTGTTAATTTCTGTTTTTTATCTTGTAACGATTCTTTTACATTGCACCCTAATGTTGTTAAGATTTTTTTATTGAAGTTCCTTTAAATGTAATAGTGGTTTTAGTTTTGTTTGTAATGAATTGCTTTGTCAATGAAAATTATTTTTCTGTACAATAAAGCTTATTTTGATTTGATTTGATTTGAGACAATTCTATTTGTCAAAAAGTTTTTACGGGGTAGTTTTGCGTTCTTCTCTTTTTCCAGTTTTTTGCTGTGTCCTCGAAGGTGTATGTTTGCATTCGCATGGAAGATATTAAGAGTAGCATTATAATATGGTTTTAAAATTTTGTAGGTCTCAATAAGATCTCCTCTTAAACGCCTTTCTCGTAGAGTTGTCAATTTAAGTCTTTGTAGTCTTGTAGTAGGTATAGTCTAACTGTGATAATTCTGGTGGTATTCTTGTTACACGTTTTTGAACTTTTTCTAATAGCTCGATGTCCTTTACAAAGTAAGGCTTCAATATTGTTTCGCCATATTCTAGTTTTGGCCTAATATAAGTTTTATATAGTTTCAATATGGTGTCCATTGAGTGGTCTGAAAATGCTTTTTGTATGCAATAAATGAACGAGTTTGCTTTTTTCACTATCCTATGAATGTGTGGTTCCCATTTGAGGTCTGCGCTGATGATGACGCCAAAATCACTCTGTTGATCGACGTTATTTAGATTGGTACCATTTAGTGAATAGGGTATAATTGTGTTGTTTATTCCAATACTGAGTACTGTGCACTTCTCTTCGTTTAGTTTCATGCTCCAGGTTTTTGCCCATTGCTCTATTCTATGAAGATCTTCTTGCAGCTCTTTAGACTTAGTTCTGGAGTTTGCAAACAGCTTGGCGTCATCGGCAAAAAATATTATACATGTTTTTATTTCCATTGCTAAGTCGCTGATATAAACTGAAAAGAGCAGAGGACCAAGCACTGTACCTTGAGCTATCCCGCTGAGAGCCACATGTACGTCAGAGAGTACTCCATTTATTCTTGTTTGAAAATTTCTTTTTTTCAAAAAGAAGGAAAGACAACCAAATAGATTACCATCAATACCAGTGGTCTATCTTATGAAGCATTTTATTGTATGGTACTTTGTCAAATGCTTTCTCAAAATCTAAGTAGACGATGTCGGTTTGTTCATTCTTATCAAAGCTTTGTGTCCAGGTGTTCAAACAAGTTGTGAGGTTGGTAATGGTTGACTTTTTTGGAAGGAATCCATGTTGGTGATCTGTGATGGCCCCATTTTCAAGGAGGAATGGTGTTAATTCTTTTGTGATGACCTTCTCAAAACATTTGCAAATATTGGAAGTTAAACTTATTGGTCTATAGTTGGAAGGTAGTTGTTTATCGCCCTTTTTGTAAAGTGGGGTTACAATAGCATGTGTCCATATGTCTGGTAGTCTTCCACTCTCCATTATCTCATTCATGGCGTCTGCTAGAGGTTTCGTAATTGCTTCGTTGCAACTTTGAAGAAATACTACCGGAATGTTATCAGGACCGGGACCGGCGTCTTTCCTTAAGCAGTTAATGGCCTCAGAAACCTTGTCACTGGTAAAAACGATTGAAGTTAATCTGTTGTTGGATTTTGTTGATTCAGGAAGTTTCGGGAGCTCTGGATCATCGTCTCTTGAGAAAACTCTGGTGAATTGTTGTGCAAATTTTTCTGCTATCGCGTAATCATCCGTAATTGGAGCTCCTGTGGACGGATCTTTTAAAGTAATTTTGGAGACTGTTGTATTAAGAGTGCGTTTTACGTATTTGAAAAATTGTTTGTTGTCGTTTGATGATGCAATTCTTTTTTCAAAGTCCCTCCGTGCTTCCCGGATTTTGTTTTTGAGTTGGTTGTTCTGAATTCTATACACGGAGTAGTTTTGCTCACTTGGAGAATTTCTGTAAATGTCCCATAGTCTTCTTTTTTTGTTGATCTCATTGAATAAATAAATGTTTAACCAGGGTTTTTTTGGATTGACTTTAGATGATATTAATGGGACATATTTGGATATAGCCTGCTGTAGTATGTTAGTGAATGTCTCATATTTGTTTCCTGATGGACGTGTTGTATCAAAGTCTTGTTGGCTTAAATACAAGTTAATTTCATGGTAGTCTGCTTTCCAAAAATTTTTTTTGGTGACTTTATGGGTTGGTCTATCTCTGCATTTGAGCTGTGATTTAGCCGTGATCACAACATGGTCACTGTGGCCTATTGGTGCATCATGGTTTATATCAAAAACTAGCCTTTTGTCATTAACCAGAATGAGATCAAGTAACGATTTTTGATCATTTCTAAAGCGAGTTGGAAAGTTTACAACCTGATAAGCATTCATTAAGTGGTAATTTTCCAAGAAAAGTTGGTTTGATTTGTCTGATTTATATAAGCTCAAATTTTTCCAATTTATTTGAGGATAATTGAAGTCTCCTACGATAAATACCGGAATTTCCAGAGAACACGCCTCTGTTATGGCTGAAATCATTTCTATATCAGTTTCTTCTGTGGAGTATTCTGTTCTATAGATGCAATATAACAACAGATTTAGGTTGTCAATTCTTACATCAATCCATAAAGATTCAACAGGAAGGGTTGTTGTGTATTTTGTTGATATGCATGAATGTACTTTGTGACCACTGATTTCCTCTTTGATGTAAATACATATCCCACCCCCTAGTAGGCCTCTGTCTTTTCTGAATAGGGTGTATCCGGCTACACTAATTAAGCTGTCGTCTAATCGATTATTGAGCCAAGTTTCCGTTATGAATATAAATATAGGTTGGTTCTTTTGAATTGATGCTGCCCAAGTTTCTCAATTCTATTTCTTAATACCATGATGTTTGATTATATTTTTTATTAAGTATTTCCAGAATTTGTATCATATGCTCGCTGAGAAATGTTTCATATTATTTGTTAATTATATATCATTCATTTAAATTTGTGATAATGTGATCAATAAGTGAATTTATTGTATTGTATCCTTCCTTCTGCTGCTATGTTCGGGTTTCCTGCTCAAAGCAGCCCCTCCAGTCCTAGGTCCTTTAGGAATTTTAGGATATCTAGCGGTTCCAGGGCTGGAATGTCTTCCTCCAACTGTATAAGAGCACTTTCCAGGTTCTTCATCCTTGAGCGACTAACGCCATCGCAGTTCAGTAGAAGATGGTGAGGTGTCTTTTCGCCATCTTCACAGAATCTGCAGGTGCCACCTTCTTTCTAATCGTAATATTTGTAGGTAGGTGTTTCTTAAGTCTGCATGTCCTGAGAAAAACTCGGCTAGAGTCTTGGGATTTTCCTACTAAGGTTGACCATCAGCAGTTCCGACGCCGCAAAATGGTTTTGTCTCAGTGGCCCATGAGTCCGGGCATCCAGAGGAGGGTTACTTGTTAGTGTTACTTTATTTTGTTTTCCCAGCTCATTAAAGTTTCTATAAACATTTCCATACTGTCTTAAAATTGATGACCACGGACCTCAATGCTTTGATAGCTGCTTGGCTGTCAGACATTATTACAATTTCTCGTTTCTGATAACTGCTATTCAGGTTGAACTGCACGCATCTTTCGATCGCATGAAGTTTCGCTTGAAATATGCTGGGTGATTTCCCCATTAACACCTAGTATTTGGTCCCCGGCTCGAATACTCCCCGGCTTCAGTTCCCTGAGCAGTTTTGGAACCATCTTGTACTATTTGATAGTGTCTACTTTAAGGGATTGGATAGATTTCATGTTCCATCTGTTTCTTGTACTTAGTTCGATGGAAAAGTTTTTTTCGAAACTGAATTTATCAACAATAATGTCTTTTGATAGATCCATGAAGTGTGCTTTCTCTATAAGATCGTAGAGTATTCCTTCACATTGACATACAGTTTTGTTGATGTTTTCCAGTTTCTCATGAATAAATAATTGTAAAAAGTTATCCTTATTAAATTTTGGTGGTTTATAGAGTATATTCCACCTAAAATTAGTTTTGTTTCTGTTATTTCCAAACATATGATTGAGAATGAGTTTTCTGATATTTCTAGTAGGTATTTTGAAATTAAGATTATTAGAACCCAATAATGCAATACATACCTACTCTCGAAGTTTCTAAAGTTATAGCATTGAATTTCTTGTTTCTTCAACCATGTTACTGCTATTAATTAGTTTATCAATTTTTTCTTCTTTAATCAAAATTTATATTTCTTCCATTGGCAGTTAATACGTTTTGGATTATTTGCATTAGATACATTTCCAAGTTTGATGTTCTTTTGAACATTTGTATCATCATCATATTAAGTATATTTAATGACTTCTCCCTCATACCATTCCTGCTTCATTATAAATGCAATATTCTAATACTTCTTCAGGTATCATAGATGAGGACAATAAATTGGTAGACGTGCTCAACCAACTATTTGACAATTGTTTCCAAACTATAAATAAGAGCATCAATGACTCAATGCAAGAAATTCAAAATGAGTTGAAGGACATTAAAAAAGAACAAACAAAAAATGGCAATCAGCTGCAAACTGTAACTGACACAGTGCAAGAAATGAGTAAGGAATTGAAGAACATTAAAGAAGGAGAAAATATAAAGGTCCAATTAAGTGTTGAAGATTTGAATGACTCAAGTGAGACCACATAATATATGTCAAATCAATTTTTGTTTTTTGTTGTAACATTATTTTCCAATCTAGGTCCTGATTACAAATCATCTTTGCTAAAATTTCCACCACCTCATCAACTAATGGGCACTTCACAAGGTTTTGTACCGGCAGTACATTCCCGAGCAATCAATTCAAGTATTGTTTCACAGCCTCAAAGTCCTAAACCAACTTTACCTGCTTCTACCTTAAAGCAAATTGGATTTGGTGTTAAACCATGTGAGAATAACTCGGGAAAAAAATTGATAATTATTAATAATACTGCCTTTTTATTTTAAGCTTTAGCAGTTCCACCATCTGAAGGTTTATTACAGAAAAATGAAACTCTTGAACAGCCAGTAATTTCATCTAAAGCTCCGAACACCTGTGGGCTTTTTGGCCAGAGTATTTATAGACCTGCCAGCACTAATTCCGTAGCTTCCTCAGCAGTTACTGAGCAAATAGTAACCCCTGTTGAAAATCTAGAACCAGTGAAATTGAGTCCACAGATTTGGTCGGCAAGACTTGAGAGACCTCCAAAATATGAAAATGAAGGTAAAGAGTTTTTGCCTGCTGCTAATTTTAAGCCCGTAGTTAAGAAAATCCCTGGTTCGTTAAAGAACAAAACAGGTAACCAAAAATGTATTGCTAGGCTAGAATATCTGCAAACTCAAATAAAAAATTATATTTTCAGGGAAAGAAAATGCCAAAATCAAATTTGAAGAACACTGCGAACTCTTCAGCAAATTTGATAACCGCTGCGTAGAAAAACCAAAATGGAAAAGGGATCATGGCATTATTGGCAATATTAAAATTGTCAAAGAAGATGGATTACGTTTGGTGTTGGTACCGGATATAGTAAAAACTATTCCATTCTCTGTTCAAACACATATTAGTTACTACAAAGAATGCCTTAACCATCAAGTGCCCAAAGACATGTCATTTGAACAGATCTCCACCAATCCCAGAGAGGTCAGATGGGATGCACAAGTTTTTTCTGAAGGAATCCCAATAACCCAAACATATCTAGCTCTATTTGAGAACAACATATTGGCTAGTAATTTTTTAACGACCATTCATCATCTTCAAATGTCTTTGGATGTAAAAGATGGGGTAGCTTCATATGGAAGGTCCCTGGCAAAGTATCCTTAGAAAAAAGGCTTCAAGAAATAATACTGACACTTGTTTGAATTTTATTTGAAAAAAACCTTAGTCGTAAAAAAAAAATAAATAACTAAAAACCTATCATATAGTTCACAGATCAAAAAATTACGCTTCTAATGCCCATACTTTTACATAATCCAATGTCAACTTGGCATCTCTACCCCAAGTAGGAAACCATTGACCTCTTGCTCTATAAAAGTTCTTTTGACTTAATGGATTGTCATTTTTCCAAGGTTTTGAGCCATCGGAACGGTCTTCGAAATTATGTCCTCCAGCTCCAACCCCTATGACAAGGTGCATCTAAAAAAAAAACTATTTTGTTGCAAACAATATTAGAAGCAGAATTGAAAGACACACCTCTTTGTCGAATGGTGCAATCTTGTTGCCTCCTTTCCATTTTTCAGATGCTGTAAGACGTAGTTTATCTGTTAAACTTGAAAAACCTCCTGCTGGTGGTGTAACTGTACTGAAGACAACGTTATCAACACTTGAAATAATGCTTTCTAGAAAATAAAAAAAATATTATGTTATTAATCTATTTGGAGTTAATATTACCTGGGGTCCACAATACAGTAAAATTATGAAAATCTTCAGTCCAAGATTTAGTGTTGTGTATTGATTTCATAGCGAATTTTCTTTGCTGAGTTTCTGGACCTAGAATAACACCACCTTGAATTTGCTGATTGTCACCTTGATTACCATTGGTGAAAGCTATTCTTATTTGACCTGAGTCGTAATATCGACCATACTCTTCATTTTCTGAGTTGAGAAAGAGTTCTGTGAACATAAGAAAGTTTGAGATTTAAAAAAAAAAAATATATGTATTATTAGGTACCTGGATATAACCAGTCGCCTTTGGGTAATTTGGCTCTGATCTCAACTTTTCCATATTTAAAGGAAAATTTCTTTTTTGTTGTTAATTGTGATGATATTACAGGGGGTATTATGTACCAGGCTTGAGCTACTTGGTAGCATTCGGAAGAAGCTCTAACGCCAGTGCATCTAAAAATTATAATGAAATTTTTATTAGAGTGGAACTTTCACAGCTCCTTATCGTCCACACAAGATCTTTCCTATTCAACTTACGTTTTACCAAGATCAAGTCCTTCACTTCCAGTAACAAAATCATCTCCGTACATGGAATCAGTTAAAACTGGCATAATAACTAACTTGTCATTTTCTACGGACAATGTTGGAAGATTGTCTTGGTAAATTACAAATTCATAATCCTACAATTTAAAAAAAAAAAGTATATTTTGGTTTCTTACTATGAAAGTTCTTACCGGTCCTGTAGCATATTTTCTATGCACCATCCACAATTGATCTTTATTATCAGCATAATGAGCAAAATTACTATCAAAAATTAGTTTTCCCTGACAGCTGCTTTGGCCTTTTACAGTTGTTATGGATGGCCTACATCCATCAATAGGAGCTTTTGTTACAGGTATAGTTGGATTGCTACCAGGTTTTGGAAGTAATTCTGAAAAATGGAAAATAAATAGTTTACAACTTTTTTGGAAAGCTATATTCTGACCTGTAACTGTGAATAATTGGTCATCCTGTGTATAGCCCAGCTTTCTTTCTCCATCAAAATAATCTGCATATGTCCAATAATAAAGAATATCCCCAATATTAAGTTTGGCCTATAAAACAAATATTTTTAGTACCCAGTCTAATTATATAGAAATATCTTTAAGTACTTGTGAATCGTAAAAAGTCCATCTTCCGTTTTTTGCTTTGACAATATCTCTGGAAAAAAAACCAGCCTCTCGGCCGTTCATTTCTTCGTTAATTTTTCCATGAAATGCAAATAATTTGATACCTTCGACATCTGGAAATTTTTATGAATAATATTTATATAAAATCATATATTTACAAAAAGTAGGACAAATTATTTTTTACATAGCCCAAGAAATGTATGGGTTTTTCAAAAAATTTTGCGAGGGCAGGCTGATTTTTTCAGGGCTTATTGGAGACTGTGTCCTGAGTATTGAGCCAAAAAATCACACTCGAAAGCCTTGTGCGTTCGGCCCCATTGGCCTTTTTCTTATTTATTTTTTTTTCAACAAAATGACCTTAACAAAACTCGTAGATAATTACATTCTGATCAACTTTGTCTCATGCCTTTTTTGCTAGCTATTTTAGTTTAGGCGTTGCGGCCATTTTAGTGCTCCAAAATTGAATAGCAAACCTGCAGATTATTGCAACTTTAATAAAATTACTGGTAATGTACTCCATTACGTTATCGGTTTCAGTCCAGGAAATGATACATTATTTTACTTATCCGGTGGAATAATTTTCCCGGAGTGAAAGCGTGAAATCGGCTTTTTTTTTCTACAATCGGCCTAGAAAGTAGACTTTGTCGATTAGATTTGTGCTTGCATAGTAGACGTTTCCTGATAACAACCACTTTGCCGCTTTAGAGCGCCAAACTACGTCAAAATCCTTCACTTTGTCGCTATAGAACGGCAAAGTAGTAAAAGCACTTGCTCTCACTACTGTTTTCTTTGAACCTGAACTATTTTTCATCAAATGCGATTATAAAAAAAAAATCAAGTGTGCAGTGCATTACGAGAAAAAGTGCGCCGTTTTGAAGATATTTGCCAATATCAACAATATCTTTCGATCGGCAAAGTACCACTTTGCGCTCTTGATACACAAATAGCTATTGTGCAATCGTCCGCGAAATTCAATTTCGCGAAACGCCACATTTTACCTGCAAAATGTGGCAAATCCTTAGAAACGCTATGCATACCACAATGTCCTCCAGGTCAAATAAAAATTTTCAAATACCTAAAAGGCCGTACAAGCGAAAGAAATAAAGATACAATAAAATATCATCTAGCAAAGTAATAGAGAATTTTATTAGGTATATAATAATCTGCAGGTTTACTATTTAATTTTTTTGCGAATTCTGAAGCACTAAAATGGCCGCAGCGCCTAAAGTAGAATAGCTAGAAAAAAAAGTCATGAGGCAAAGTTGATCAGAATGTAATTATCTACAAGTTTTGTTAAGGTCATTTTGTCGCCCTGGAAAAATCAACCTGCCCTCGCAAAATTTTTTGCGGCCCAAGTATAAATTTCTTGGGCTAGAAACACAATAAAAATCGAGAGATAATTAATTTTTCAATATTTCTTTGAACTTTGTATGTTTTGCAACATTTTTATTCAGACTTGTCAAGAATTATTTAGGAAAATCCAATAGCAAATAAACTAGTTATACAAATTAGTGATAAGTACTTAATTAAGAAATATTTGACCTTGATTTAAAACAAATAACTGGTAATTGGGAATAAATTAAATATAAGGCGTTTTATATATGTTTTTCAAGTTCATTAACAATAAAGAAAAATATGCAATACTTGAGGGTTTTTATTAAAAAAACTATTGTTTCTGTGTATTTTCACCCATTCAAACAAATATTAAGATATTGATGTTCATAACTTACCTGGAATAGATACTCTCAATCCTCTAGGACTAAACACTTCAACAGTAGCATCTGGAACTTCAAAAGCTTGTCCATAGCACAAAGGACTATAAGTAATTAACATAAAACACCAAACTAATTGATTCATTGTTTTCATGTGAAGAAATCTAGTCAGACTGATCCTACTAATCAAAAAAAGCAAACATTCAAGAAAATTAACATTTCATGGTATGGTGGTATCTATTAAAACCAATTCCCAGTATTAAAACATATAGATGGGAGTTTTCGTGTTAAGATGATTCAACTGAATAATTCCTATACTTCAATTTTAGACGACCATAAGAGAAATAATTTCCAATTATTGCGGTTTTTATATATTTTTTCATATTTATGTTTATTGCATTCTTCGTTCTAGATGAAACCTTGAAAAAGTTGAGTCCATTACCTATGCAATTTATTTAAGGGAGACTGAAATAGAAATTCAAAAAATCAGTTCTGCTGATTTGTTCATAAACTTTTGAAAATACAAATAAAATTTTGCATAGAAAAGCTTCTCACATATTTTGAAAGTGAGTTCTGTAGGAGATTGAACGTAAATCAGTACCTACATTAGGAGCGGGAGTCTATATTCACTAGAGACTCTAAATGAACTGTACATAAATCCAATCCAAACTAGTTCACTTTTTTATAACAACTTTATTGAACTTCTTAGGATTAAATCAATACACAAACTGCCAAAACACTGAAACAGTGACTCAAGAAAAATACAAATTAATAACTTCTAATGTTGCGGTCAAGAGAGAGAGAGGGTATGTGTTGCACCACCGAACATAAGGGTCGCGTCAGGTACTTCTCGAGACTGATTTTCTGTTGGTTCTATGGATGAGAAAAAGGTCAAGAGCATTGGGTCAGCCGCCGTGAGCGAAAATATCACAATAAACCTATTTTTAGTGGAAAAAAAAAAATAACCGTTGTGGTTCCACAACAAGCTCCAAGTCATTTTAATAATAAGTTGATAAACTTCTAAGAGTAGAGTGGTAACAAAAACAAAATATTATAATAAATAATAACATTTTTATTTGCACAAGTTGAGTATTCATACAATTTTTTTCTTCTTCATTTATTCCCTAGATATTAAAGCAATAAAAAGGTATAAAGCCTAATGTCCTAGACATATACAGGCACTTCTAGCAAAGTTCAATACTCAAAGTATTATATTTAACAAAATAAAATCCAAATTTCCAATGTATCCAATATTGCAAATTATGGCAAAGTGATTTTTTTTTCTTAAAATACAAATCATAATAGTGAAATTTCCAAAGCAAAGGCAAATACGCAACTAATGTATATATCACATAATTTACAAATCAAATCTTTTTCATATATTCACAAATTTATTCCTCTGATAAAATAATCAATCCATGTTATTCACCTCTTCCAGAATGTTCAGTTGTATGCAAATAAACTCTATTAAAATACATTACACCACAGCCTGTAAATAGTTGCCTGGCGAATTAGGAAATCAGAAGATCTAAAGCTTTGTCTCTGTTGTTATCGTTTCTCATCAGTGCTTCTGAAGCGTCTTTTTCAGCAAATCCTAGATCAAGGAGCTCCGAGAGAGCTAGTAAATGATCTACAATCTACAAAAACATATACATATTTTTTTTTAAAAAAAAGATCAATAAAAATTACCTTTTTCTGGTCGCTTCCAACAGTTTCACAAACTCGTACGACTCGATCCAATGGAAATCCCATTAAACTAACATTTTTACAAATCTCTCTCTGTTCCTTAGTTAACTTAATCAATGGATTCAGAGTGTCATCCTTAGTCCTTGTTTTAGGATACACGGAATCTGTGCTTTTAGGCCTAGTAGGTACTGGCACATCTGTGGTATAATACGAACTAGATATTGAATGTCTACTATTTTCAACTGTATCATTTAAATGTGTAGCGTCTAATTCTTTTTCAACAGATTTAACAAGATCAGGGACACTTTTACAGTTGGATTTTTGGATAGAATAAGGAGGGTAGTGATTGGCCATATTTTGAGGAGGAACATTATATATGTAGCCATTTATTTGGTTGTTATAATTTGCTGTAGTACCTGCAACACTATAACTACTCTGATTGGCATAAGGGTTATTATATTGACTATAAGTTGTGGAATGAGGATTGTAGATATTATTTACTTGACTATAAGTATTAGGAATTCCATTATAAGCTAAAGAATTTTGAGGTGTTCCAGAATTTGGCTGACTATATGGTTGATAGCTGTTAGCAGGTAAATTTCCAAAGCTTTTTGTCACGCCAGAACTATAATTTTGATAAACAGAGTTGCTTGGATAAACATTTTGTGACTGTTGAAAGGTATTTCTATCGCTCTTCAAGACTTGGGCCAACTCTTCCAAATCATTTATTGATTTCAATTCCATATTATCAAATGGACTAGAAGTGTCAGATTCAAAATCCGATAAATTAAATGATTTACTCATTGTTGGTTGTTGAGGTTGGAACAATGTGGTAGTTGGCATTAGCATATTACAAGGAGTTGTTGAATAATTATTGGTCACAGGAATAGGCATGAGAATTCCATTTTTGGTTATGTAATTGGGTTGAATTTGACTAGAATTACTACGATTGGAGTAGTCTTGTGTATTTGATTGTGCCCTGGTATATTTTGCTTCTGTCGTTTTAGATTCTTCAACAATTTTTGCTTCTGCTTGTTCTTTTTCTAGTTGATTGGATTTTTCTTGGTCAATTTTTTCGTCAAACTCTTGCTTGGCTGCTTCTAGTCTTTGCTTTCGTTCTTCTGCCTACAATAATTTTTGTTATTGAGTAAATATCAGTTTGTACAATTTTTTGTTTGGTGAAGAAATAAGACACACATACTTAGTAGGAATTATTTATTGTGCACAGACAAGTGATGCAAAATCTTCAGGATATTACAATGTTTGTGAGTTGAAAATATAAATCTAAACTTCCCTTGACTCTGCTACATTAGTTGAGCTGCAGGCTCCAGGGGCGCCGACTACGTGGGTGCTCGGGGAGACGTAAACAGTGGGTGTGGAGCACCCACGAGCATAGGTACTAAATTTTTGACTTAGGGAATTATCTTTAACAAAAAAACAGACTTTATTCCGTGCCAAATTTAGTTGTTCCGTGACTCTTCCTTGGAGGTCGTGAGTTTAGAATGGACACTTGCTACTATTTGACAAGTTAGTCATATCAATTCTAAACGTTCAAGGTTTCCTTAAGTTCTGAGGAAACCTCAAGAACAAGTGGCGACTGTAAATTCGGCCCCTCAAGGGGTTACACTAAGGGTAGGTTTTCATGCATCCGTCGTACGATGGTACGATGATACAACGAAGCTCTTATTGGTTGAACAGTTTCCCGCCATTTTTTATCCGAATATTTTAAACTTTTCTCCAACGTCGGATAAAGTTACAATAATTTTAACTTTCATACCGTATGATTTGACATTTTTGACGTTTAATTTTAACTTTCCATGTTTTGTTAGATATCTATAAAAAAAAGTCAACAAGGTGTATTTATTGAATGATATGAGGCTCACGGACAAAGAAAAATATTTCAATAACCTTTATGACCTGAACAGTCAAATATTTTCGACTATTCATGAACGATTGTTATCATTAGATGTCGGATGCATGTAAATGCCAAACATCAGAAAATTTCTGAACTTTCTCACCAATAAGAAGCCGTAAATTCAACCAATCGGAACAATTTCGTATTGCCGTATCATCGGATGACGGATGCGTTCCCCAAGTAAACGGAATTTTCATTAACCATCGGTCAACCGATTCGGTTACTTTAGTACTGTTCCAACAGAAATGAAAACCGTTCAGAACGGTAATTTCCACGCGATCAGTTCATTTGTCAAGTAGGATAAACGTTCAACTTATTGGAAAATCGGTGGGCAACTGGAAATTATTGGTTCTGGAACGGTTCTCATGTCTGTTGAAACAGAGCTAACGGTTAACGTTGGTTTGGTTATCTTCGGACCATAGCCTTATATGTTTCTGGGCGTGGCACTAGGAAGGATTTTGTCACCATCAGCGGCGGGCTTTTCACCCCCTCCCCCCGCCCAATACCGGTGTATGAGCATCAGCAAATTGAGGAGCACCCACGAGGTTTTCTAAAACCCGGCGCCCCTGGCAGGCTCTGAGGTGTCTCGGCCGAATATTGTCAAAAGTGTGAAAATTTTGTTACTTTATTTTTTTTTTTTTTTTATCAACGGGTAATTTCCCAATTAAAAAACAGTACAATTTTAGTAATATAAAATACCTAATTTCTACCTAACCTTAAAACAAATTAAATTATATTAAAATAGATCAAATCAAATTAACATTAAAATTAAAATATAAATAAAACCCTAGAAACCTGATCAACAATAACAATGAGTTGCAACACAAACAAAATATAAAATTTAAAATTTAAGTCTGAAGCTAAAATAAAATATTAAACAATATGTAACAGTTTATTTTTAAAAGTTCTTTGGACGACAAAAAAGTCTAGAGTATCACAGTGTTGATTGGCAAGTCGAGCGGTCCTAGACAAAAATGAGTTTAAACCATAGTTGGTTCTATGGGGTGGAGCATTAAAGGAATGGTTCTGTCTAGTTTGCCGTAAAGGAACGTGAAGCCCAATTTTTTCAGTATTGTTTTCCATTTCAGAATAGTTGATGTTTTCAGCTGTTTGAAGGAGATGTACCTCAAAAGCTTATGCTGTACTCTTTCAATAGCCTGGATATGGACATCGTAATGAGGAGACCAAACACAAGAACAGTAATCGAGGTGTGGGCGCACAAGAGAGCAATACAATGTTTTAATTGAAGAGGTGTGGAGAAAGTCCTTAGTACAGCGCTTGATGAAACCCAGAATTTGAAGAGATTTGGAGACAGCCAATGATATTTGAGGTATATAAGACAATTGACTATCCAAAATAACTCCCAAATCTCTTATCTGAGAAACAGCATTCAGCGGACAACCATTCACAGAGTATACTCGCTGGGTGGGGTTCCTGCCACAACTGAAAATCATTAGATGGCACTTTTTAACATTTAATTCCATTCCATTTTGTGTACACCAGCCAGACAGACGATCCAGGTCAGATTGTATTTTTAAACAATCTTCAGTTTTGTCGACTCTCATGTGAAATTTTAAATCATCCGCAAACATTAAAAAATGGGTGTGTAAAAAACAGGAGGAAATATCATTAATGTACACATTGAAAAGCAGAGGGCCAAGATGCGAACCCTGAGGCACACCTGATGGGACTTGGATTTCACATGACTTGTAGCTCTGAATACGTACTACTTGCGTTCTACCAGAGAGATACGATCCCAACCACCTTAAAAGCCTTCCATGGATCCCTTTCACGGATCCCTTTCACAGCCAATTTCTGAATTAGTACTTCGTGGTTTACACGATCGAACGCCTTTTAAAAATCGGTGTATATGGCGTGTACATGATGCCCCTCCTCCAGGGCCTCCAACAAAAAGTCGGTAAATGTGAGCAGGTTATGTTCAGTCGAGCGGTGCGCAAGAAACCCAAATTGCTTGTCACTAAAACTGCTTCTCAAATTCTTAGCTAGAAAATCACAAACAAGGCTTTCGAAGACCTTAGGTATACAGCTTAGTATACTAATGGGCCTATAGTGATCAACTTGCGCTGTATCTCCTGATTTTAGAATAGGCGTAATAAAGCTAGTTTTCCAGAAAGTTGGGAAGATACCGTTTTCCAAAGATAGATTAAAGATGACATGAAGTGGACGTGCCAGTATAAAGCTACATTGTTTTTGAAGTCTTGGGGGAATCCCATCTGGGCCTGCACTCTTGCTGATATCTAAGGATGACAGTTTTACATAAATTTCAGAAATAGAAAAGTTACAGTTAGACAAATTAATATGACTGAAAGATGGGACATTGTGTGTAACATCACAGACCTTATCAGAGTACATTTGCGAAAAATACTCAGCAAACAAATTTACAATTTCGCCACCAGTTGAAGACCTGATATTATTGTAGTACATTTCAGAAGGAATATCACAATTTTTCTTTTTACTGTTAACAAACTTCCAAAAGTTTTTAGCATTAACCCTCAAGGAAGATTCAGTTTGCGCTATATAGCATTGATAACACTAATTCTTAATGATTTTACATCTAGCTCTTAATGCAGAAAATAACTTATAGTCCTTATAAAGTCCAGTTGAAACGTATTTTTTGTGTGCTTTTTTCTTTTCAATTATCGTTTCCTTCAAGTCCTGAGAAAACCACACTGGAAAATTTTTGGCAGAGTACTTTTTTAGAGGAACAAAAAGATCCACAGTTAAGTATAGAACATCATAAAATACATTGATTATATCATCCAGGGATTTATTTAGGAACAAAGTGTCCCAAGTGAAATAAGAGAGAAAGTCACACACTACCGTAATGTCCATGGCATGGAAGTCTCTATAAAAACCCTCACCTGTGATTCCATGATTATTAAAATGATGATGTTCACACTTAATACTCAAAACTAGTGGTGGGTGGTGGTTGTCCACAGGTAATAGACTTTCATCTGCATAGAGAGTTGTAGCTTCCTTGTCTTGCAAAAACACCAGATCCAGGATAGATCCGTTCTCGTTTCTAAGTGAGTTTACCTGATATAGGTTAAGGTATGAGCATAAAAATGATAGTACTTGGAGGGACTCAACTTGGTTTGGAGAAGCTGTTGGCAGAGGGACAGCCACAGAAGCCAAATCAACTTTTGACCATTGTCCATTAGGAAGATTGAAATCGCCCAAAACACACACTTTACTATCTGGGTATGCTTCCGTCAGTCTTTCCAGGCTGTCAGCAAATTGTGCATACTTTTCAAAGGCACTCCGAGGTGGGAAATAAGCAGTTGCAAAAATGAAACCGGTACCGTTCATATCGATCTGTACAAACAAATGTTCAGTATTATTACTTGCTTCCAGAACTCTACTTGTAATATTCTTTCGAACTGCTATTAGTACCCCACCCCCTCTTGAGAAAACGCTTTTTTCGACAGGTCTGTCCTTCCTGTAAATATTGAAATCAAGCATTTGAAGTTCAGCATCCTGGAAGTGTTCCGTCAACCAAGTTTCATTAAAAACCAAGATATGGTATTCAGAGTAAGAAACATTCTCAAAAAGCCAGTGAAGGATATTGATTGTACAGTTGTTTAATATAAAGTCTCTTGATTATTACAAAATTTCTAACTTAAAAATGTTAAATTTGAATCTACATCTTATTTTGATATTCCTAAGTAAAAATATTGCTAAAAAAATGCAACTGAGGAACATAGAATACCCCAAATGGTCGCAGAAATGTTAAATCAGTTACATGTAAGTACCCACTGAAACATTACTTAATACTTACCAATTTTTTCCTAATTCCTTTCACTTCATTGACTTTTTCCAAAGCAGATCTTTCCAAATTGAAATTATAAGAGGGCCTACTGTCCTGTATTTGTTTGTTGAGTGTGAGACGCTGGGAATACGATATAGGCATGCTTATTCTACAGGGTGGCTTGTACTTTTCTGATATTTTCACTTTGATACCGTCTGCGTAAGAATTAGCCATTGTGTTGAATATTTTAAAAATAGAGCCTGCAAAAACGTTTATAATAACTTGCCTAGTTTCAAGCAGTCTGTGTATACAGAAGACAATAATTTTAGGAGCTGCAAAATATTAGAAAACTGTTTTCTAGGATTTTGATATGCAATTTTTCAAAGTTGTTTTTAACAGTAGAATAATTATGATGGAATTTCCAATGACTAGAACCTAACTGATGAGCATTAATCAATTGAATTATAAAAAATGACTCAGATAATAATATTCAGCAAGGAATAGCAAACAAAACTGCCACTCACCTTGTACAAAACCAATGTAATTCTATTTCCAGAAATTTTCATGATCCATATATCAACATGTTTAGTTCTTTTATCACTTTCTTATTTAAATAATTAGTTGAATCGATAAGTTTTTAGCAAACCTTTCACACTTTCACACAAAAAATATTTTTAAAAGCAATGAATTTTCTTGTTTCTTGAGTCAAGTGACTGACACCTGACAGCCATAAAGCAGGTAGACAGCGAAGAAGGCAAAAAGTAAACAGTGAAGTTGGATCATAGAGATGGGAAGAAAAAATGCAACGTTGCCAGCTGCCGGATTCTATTTTACGACTCGAATCGAAATTCGTATCGATTTGTTAAAATGCGATTCTGTTTTTCGATACGTATTACACGAAGTCCGGAGCTGTCGTATTCTATATCGAGTGTCATAACAGACAATTTAACTCGATTCGAAGAATAAAATTCTTGGTGTTATACAGGGTGATCCATTTAAATTGAGACATTTCAATATCTCGAAAATGGCGCGTTTTTGAAAAAAAAAGTTCAATAATGTCTTAAGTTCAATGGCCCACCCTGTATACCTATTGCATATCGTGTGCTAGAAACTTAAAATTACCAATTTTTCATTGAATATGAAAATTTTGCGACTAATAAATAAAAGAAAAAGATAATTCCCCATGTCAAAAATTTAGTAACTACCTATATGTTGGCAGCACAAGCCTTCTCTACATAAAAAATTTGAAAGCATCGACAATTTAACTTGTTTTGCCAACATAATGTCATTTTGACTTTTATCTTTAAAAAAAAAATTCCGCTATCCCGCTTCTACCCTTTGCGAACGAAAATAGAAAATTTCCTCAAAAAGGCAAAACGGGGATAATTCCGTCAAGCTGGCAACACTGTGGCTGACTCGTTTTCAAACGCAAGGATATCAACAAAGCATTTAATAGGTTGGATATAAGCCCCGCCCCTTTCCAATCAGATTCCCTTGATATCAGCAAAGCATTCAATTGGTTAGTTGAGCCCCTTTCCGGCGTTTATGTATCGTCAAGGTATTTGATTGGTTGTTTCCTTTTCAACCCTTTCCAATGGCCCCGGCCCACCTACAGTGACTTAACCTTTTCAAATAGAAATTCGGTACCGCCGCCATATTCTTGCAAATTTTGAATATGAATATAGAAGTTAGCCACGCCCCTGCCGCTAATTTTTTGATGTTTACTCAGGCAGAGGCACTCAGGTATTATTATTAATATTAGTATATATTTATTTATTCTTTATTTTTCAATTTTTCCATCTCATATTTTGTCTATTCCCGGATCTTGAATTTTCGTTTTCTTCTTAATTTTTCTAATGGCCATTTCTGCACTCCATAGGCGTATCCAAGGGGGGGCTGCCTGGCTGCAGCCCCCCTCCAAGGCAACTTTTTTTTTCAAGAGGATATTTTAAATATTATAACCATTATTGTATTTTTTAAAAAAATAATTATTCTGCATACTTTACCGTAGGTAGGTACTTTCCATTATTATTCGTAAATATTTCTAATATTTTTTATGGTGCAGCTTATGTGCGTACTTTGTTAAATTTTCCTTCTTAGAAATAAAGTTTATTTTACTATATTATGTATACCTATAATAAGGTATTTCTATGACTACATAGTGGCGGTTGCAGCAAGGGAATCAGAGCTTCACCTCAAATTTCCGCCATACTTTTTCCCTCAGGAGAGGAAGGAGAAAAAAAAAGCGAATGAGTTCAAGTCAACATATCAAACTCGCGTCCCGATGCAGATAATTATCTTTATGTACGACAGGGCCGTAAAGCACCTATTTGCGCCCTGAGGCGGGGGCAAAATTTGATACTTTTCGGCCCGCAGGGCCGCGCATAATGCCAATTAATTTTTTTTTAAAAATAATATGCACCTCGGGCCTCAATTTACATGAGCCGGGTCGCACAGAAAATTACTATTGTAGCCCTGCAAAAAAAATTAGTCGCGTAACGTTTGGGTATATAACAGGTAAATTCCTTACAAAAATTAGGCGTGGCTTCAAACATTTTTTCGTGAGCTCAGCCCCTCCTAGCCCCAATTCCTGGATACGCCAATGGTAGCCATTTCCACCAACTATTTTAGGGAAGCCCTAACAATACCTAGGTATGCCTTAAACTGACATTTCTCCATGTAAAAATAACATTTTAGGGAATACTTATCGTTAGGGCTCGCCTAAAATAGTTGAGGTTTATAATGCGTGATGCGTGAGGTACCTACCTATATAATGACTTTCTTTACCGAGGAATATATAGATTTTTTTTTTACTACTGCAAGTGGAAAATGAATAATTTTTAATCTGTGCTCTACAGTGCCTGTGCTGTAATTTTTTTTTTTTGAACGCCCTCTTGAAAGTGGTGCCTTCTATCAACAGCTTATGATAACTTCCTATATACCTACAGAAACTTGTATTTTTTTTTATTTGACGTATGAAATTGAAATTGAACCAATAAAAACATGACAATATCCTTGAGTCATGACGTCATTTTCATTATTAACCTAGGTATTTTTTCATTATTTTCATTATTAACCTAGGGAGAGAAATTCAATTTTTTCCTAGAAAAATAGATTGAATAATGACTATTTCTCAGGTTAGTAGTAAAAAAATAATATATTGTTTACGCCTCATGTAGACAATGTGTAGACAAATGCTCACGTAAACAATTCGAATTATCTACGCGTAGACAATCAATTGTTTAGGTTGACATTGTCTACATCAGGCAAGGATGATACACACTACTACTACAGGATGGCTTATCCTCATAAGGCCTGTGTGTAACAAATCCCCCCTTACCCCGCCTAGCCAAACAATCAGTTGTGACGTAAGCAGAATGGCGTTTCTCGCCTTGATGTAGGCTGTTTAAACAGCTGACGACTTAGTTATGGCGTCGGCAATGGTTGAAAACCAATATGGCGGCGATTACCAAAAACGAGGCCGATAAGCACTCCTGAGTGTGTATTCTCCTTGGTCTACAGGCACATCACTGATAACGTCATGTGACATTGTTTAAAACCAGTTTTAAAAAAAATTGAGACGCGAGAAGACACCTTTGATGACGCATCTGGCGTGCCTCATGGAGATTTGCATTATGTTGAGGCACTCCAGATGACTTCATATAGTTATTTACATTCCAAGCTGCGAAAGCGTACTTTTAGGTGCGAGGTGTATTCAAATAGCCGAGGCGAAGCGAAGCGCAGCCGAGGCCAACTTTTTGCCGTAGTGGCAGCGTAATGTCAAAAATTCAAGATGGCTGCACTGCCGCCAATGAAATCGTACAAATTAAATCACGTGACTAGTTACGCTTACGTCAATTACGCCCGTGGGGTCTCGCCCTCATGAGCGTAAGTTGACATTTCTGGCGTAATCACGTTATAATATGGTGTAATTTGATTAGTAAAATATCTAGCATAGCGAATATTTTATCAATAAAACCCAACCATCTTATCACGTGATTACGTCAGGAATGTCAACTTACGCTCATGAGAACTCGCCCTAAGTGCCAAATTATGGACCAACTGGTAAGTGTCTGGTTGTTACCTAGCAGGTACTTTCTATTCTCTAGTGCATAGAAAGTACCTGCTAGGTAACAACCAGACACTTACCAGTTGGTCCATAATTTGGCCCTAAGTGCACTTGCAACTTGCACTTCAAAGTGCAAGTACAGTGGGAATCATTGCAATTGGCACACACTTCAGAAACATCCCCCGTAATGTGTCAGAATTTGACTTCTATGACACACAGGTAATGGCACTAAACCAATGACATCCTCTAAACAGAATAATTGGTTAGAATTTTGACGTAATACGAGGGATGTTAAAAGAGTGTGTGCCAATTGCAATGATTCCCACTGTAAATCAAATCGTGTTCTATTTTTCTATAGTAACACTATATGTCAAATTGATATTTGACACTAAACACTTTGCAGTTAACAAAATGTAAACCTGCCTTTAGATTAAGTCTGGCTTGGTTCTTGCCGTGCGTTCGGTATTTTGATCTGAGTTCTCCGAGCATAAATTTACCGTTCGCAGAGCGGATTCCATTGGTTGAAAATAGTCAGAAAACTGGTTGTTGGGGATTTGCACCAATCAAAAACGTTCTACTGGTTTGTGATTTCGCTGAAAACAGGAACAGATCTTTAGGGCCGGTTTCTCACTAGCAAAGTCACCAACGGGTTAAGCATCACTCCAGGGTAAACATAACAACTGGACGGACACGCTTACCCTGGAGTTAAAACTAACCCGGAGGTGACTCGCTATTGAGAAATCGGCTCTTAATCGTCTTATTGATCCGTTTTCTTTTAACCTTGCGTTCGGTATTTTACTCAAAGAGTAGAGCGGAGCTGTAATCACGTGTCCAGCGAGCGAACAGAGCAGTTGAACACTGTATCCGAGTGCCTGAAATTTTAAACGAACGCGAATAAGCCTGCACCGAGTACACTTTTTAAAAAAACGAACGGTAAATTTAAGCTTGGAAAACTCAGATCAAAATACCGAACGCACTAAATAGAGATATCCATGTAAAGCCTAGTACTCATAACTGCGAAATTCACATTTTTTTGACATTGCTTCGACAATTTGACGTTTGATACACGCATAATGAGTACTAGGCTTAAGGGAGGATTTTCATGCATCCGTTTTTCCGACGAAATATGTCCGTAAAACATTCTATTCTGACATAATCGTATATAAATATGTCAAAATAGAAGACTTTTCGGACATATTTCGACGGAAAAACGGATGCATGAAAATCCTCCCTTAAGCCTAGTACTCATAACTGCGAAATTCGCATTTTTTTGACGTTGCGTTGACAATTAGACGTTTTATGCGTGTATCAAACGTCAATTTGTCAACGCAATGTCAAAAAAATGCTAATTTCGCAGTTATGAGTACTAGGCTTAGGTACTAGGCGATTCCTGATTATTTAAAACTTTGACATTTGTTTTGGGCTGCGAAACCTTTGCACGAGCGTGCGTAGAACCTCTTTTTTGCGCAGTAGTGCGGAAAAATGAAAATATCTAAAATTGGAGGGTATCTAAGTGGCCGGAAAGTGCCACTTTTCGCACTTGTTAGTAAATATACTATGACGAATGAGGTTAGTTTTTAATTTGCAAGATCTTCATCGATACATATCGATATGAAAAAATCGATTCGATATACGATATATATTATCGATATCGATAAGTCCTTCTCTAGCTTGTTTACAAATAGTTGACCCTTCCTTTAGTTCAGAGGATTTAAAAATCCAAAATAAAACAAAAATTTTGAATCTAGCAGGATTTGGGTAGTAAAATATGTCAGGTCATTCTTTACCTTAAGCATAATGTAAGTTTTATCCCTTTTTATATAAATACAAATAGTGGCTTTTGAAAAAAACCCTTAAAAGCCTAAAGACTGTGTGGTTTTTGTAGGACAAGCACCAAAAAATATGCATTAACAAGCATTGCAGCTGGTCTATTTGCTATAACTGTATATTTTTGGCCATCATGCTTAACGTGGGCACTATTCCTAGTACTGCTAGTTTTAATTGCGCTAATGGGCGTCGTATCTGCTCTGTGGATCAACATTATGCTTTCATCGCCTCATAAAACCATCATTGGAGCCGAACATGACCTTAAACAATCTGAAAATTTTCGTAATAAACTTATGGTAAGTAGTCAATTTACAGATTGACATAGCTTAACTATACAATTTTCAGAGAGACTATGAATCGCAACAATCTGCAAAAAGCTGTGAAGCCAATTTAACGCCAGTTTTTGGAAGAACTGTAGACAGTTTACTTCAACAACTACTAGACTTTGTTATAAGAGATTACATTACTGTGTATCTAAAAGATTACACATATGATTTGGATTATTTAGGAATAAATATTAAGTAAGATTATTACTTAACTACTTATTTATCTTAGAAAATATGTTGTATTTTCTTAGAGATGATTTGTGGGGCGCTGTAAAAAATCTTCATGACAAGATGTTAAGAGTTGACCATGCAAAACTCATTGCATGTAATATTGTGGATGTCATTACTAATCATTTTGAAAAGATTAGGGAAGCGAGAGCAGCAAAGTTGGTTTACCTATTATAAAGGAATTATATTGTTTTATATTTTGAGCATTTTCTAGTGTTGAACAACACATTCCTCCTGAATTTCATCTCTCAATTTACATAATGTCTTCAGAAAAAGAGCTAGAATATTTGAGAACATTGAGCGAAGTTCTGATCATGTTTTTATTGCCAAGAGCTTACTCTTTATCTCCAACCAAATATTTTATTAGAGAAGTAATCTGTTGTAAAGGTACTTTGTTTTTGGAAACTCAAAATCATAAGTGATTCTATTCCATTGTAGTATTCAAGCCATTTGTTGATTTGATCACAGATCCAGATTTTTTCAATAGGAATTTAATTAATTTTATTGAAAAAGCTAATCAACAACAAATTAATTTACCAAAAAAAGCTTTAGATCATGTTGAACTTTATATTGAGAAGATTGATGATATACAAGTGTTAAAACAAATTAGGTAAGACACACTACTAAGGTAATATTTTGATTTTTTTGAGAAAAATTACTATTATTAGGTATAATATTGTAACAAAGCTAATGCAAGCTACAACTTTGCAAAACTTGAATCGTGCCAAAGGGGTGGATTTAGATAATGATAAGGGAAATATGCAGTCGTCAGGTATTCAAAAATCTGAAATAAATGCAGCAAAACGGTTAAAGAAAACCATTACTCATTTGACAATGGCTAAAAATTTGTGTGAACGAAAATTGACTAGTCTTGGCTTTGATTTAGGATATCAGTATGGTGATGACTTCAAAAAGGTAATTATTGCCTTGATATTTTTCAAAAAAAAATAATTCTTTATTGAATGATTTTTCAGGTGCTCTCACTTCAAACAATTCTAGATCAAATTACAGGACGAAAATATTTGTCACAATTTCTACAAACCCTCGCTAGTCATGATCTAATTCGATTTTGGATTGCCGTTGAAGAATTACGTACCGCACAAAGAAACCAGTGGCATCAATTAGGTGCTGAAATATTTTACACTTTTATCAGAAATCCCGTGTCCGAGATTAAAGTGGACAAAACTGTAAAGAAACGAATGGAAGCATTTTTATTGGGCGACAAAGGTCCAGAAGTATTTTACGAAGTCCAGCAACAAGTGGTTCAAACAATAGAAGACAAATATTATCAACCGTTTTTAATAAGCGACTATTATAAAGAAATGCTTATTGCGATGGAGTCTGAGAATAATTTGATTGAAACCGATAGTTCTGGGTCAGGAGATGAGAAACTAGTTTCTGCGGATTTTGCTGGTAGTATTGAAAACGGACTGAATGTAGGCGATCATTCAAATTATGCCAGAAGGAAACTGGATCAGTTGGAGGAAAAACTTAATAATAAGTCGCAGGTAAGAATTTGGAAGATTTTTTGTTATGAAAATGATAATATCAAAAAACTTGTTGATTGTAGTCCCTTAAAAGGGATAAGATTCAGTGAAAGTTTCAGCTTTCTATCTATAATAGATAAAAAGTTACGACTTGTCAAAGTTTTCCAAAATCTAAATCATGAGGTAGATACCTTTTTACTCGCCTTTTTACTAAAACGATGAAATTTCAATTTTTTTTTTTTTCGAGATTTTGTATCCTAATGTTCAGTCAAACTACATACACTGAATTATTCTCAGATTTGAAGCCGAAATCTAAGAAAAAAGGCACTCAGAAAAATTGCTTAACATGATTTTATCTCAGAAACTATACGTGTAAATGAGCTGAAATTTCAGGGATTGTAGTCCTTTGAAAAGGATAAAATTCAGTGAAAGTTTCAGCTTTCTATCTATAATAGAAAAAAAGTTATGACCTTTTAAAGTTTTCCAAAATCTAAATCAACCTTCTTACTAAAACGATGAAATTTCAATTTTTTTTGTCGAAATTTTTTATCCTAAATGCGCGTTCACATTGACACCGCTCAAGCGGTGAGCGTTGCGCGATGCCGTTCTAGCGATGCCAACGCGTGCGATACAGGGCGTTGTTGTGTTCATATTGGTAAGCGTTATTCAGTATCGTGGTAACATAATGTATAGTATTAGATAAGATTAGACTTGTTTGAATGGAGATGGCGCAAAGGCGTCCTCTACCACTGTAACCTAGTCAGATTTATTGTGGTAACTCGTATCTGTGCTTAAAGTGCGGTCTCTAGACATCTCCTTTTTATTAGACTCCAGGGCCATGATACTGGCGACTCCATGTAGCTTGCCGGAATGGGCTTTTTCAGCCCTCAAAGTTGGAATTTTGTCTAAATTTCATCCACTGGTGGTACAAATATTTCTCAAATACCACATCAAAGCATTCAGTAAGAGCTACAATCTCAGAAAAATTTGGCACGATACCTCTTATGGATATTGAGATATTACCTCTTCAATTATAACAGGTATATAAGGTAAAAGCACTTTTGGTGGATAATCTTGTACATACATAATATAGTGAAATAAATGTAAGTAGTAAAAAATCAATCGGAAAATTTCAAATTTCCAATTTTACAGTCTGGAAACTCGTGTAAAATTGCCCTTTCATTGCTCAAAAACAAAACTTCCATAGCCAAAATAGATCAAAAAAGCTATTAAATCATGAAAACAAATTTTCCAAACTTGAATTTTGTTTCTGGAAGTTGGAAGTTGATCTGAGATCTTTTTTTCCTGGAAAAATTAACTCAAACTTGATACATTGAAAAGCCGTCTTTTCCCCAATTTGGAAATAGGTCTGATTCTTGATTCCAATGTCCAAAATGAAAAAAACTTACCAGGATTTTTACCATGACTTCATATAATTCTGGATTCCAGTCACAAGTCTTGCAGATTTAAGCTTAAAACTCTCGGTTATTAGTGCTGCCCTATAACAAAAAGTTTATAATTTTACTAAAGAAAGTTTTATTTTCAATGACTTACCTTGTTAAGTTTCAACATTGTAACTTCAAGCCCAATTTCCACACCACCCTAGAGGTACGAGCTGTCGGTGCGTTTTTTTTTTCAAGTGCTTTCCCCGTTAGGCCTAATGCACTTTGAAATTACACTTGTACAGCCAAAACCGTCAACTATCCATCAATTCAACCTTCACTCGCCAGCTAGGAAGTCACCACTGCAAACACTTACCATGCTTACGGTGTATATTTAGTGCAACAAATGAGGTCCAGGACAACTATGGCATTAGGCTCCCCCGGGGCTTCCCTGCTTTAAAGATTCAGTCGAATCATGAACTGTTTTTCGGGAATTGACACATATGTAATTTCACCTGGAAGAGAAAAGTAATAAAAGTTTGGATCCATGCAGTCATGTCCATCATTGTCCAGTCGGTTGTGGCTATACGTCTACCATTGTCAGTCATTTGTTTCAATGTCCACAAATCCTAGTTATTTGTCCCATGTCTAGAGTGGCTGTACAATGTCCAAAGTAATGATAAACTTAGCCTTTATTGATCCATTTGTATCATATCCATGACCAAAACCAGCTCATCACTTCATGGTTCAAAATTTGGAAAAGGAATGTCTGGAAAAACAACTTTATGTTAGTGAAAATTCAATGTTTTATATTAAAAATTACTTATTTATTCACCTTCAATACCCAATACCCAAAATACTAAAGCACTAATGTAGATAGGTACAATAGAACCCCGGTTATCCAAAGTAACGTGGACCTCGGATAACTGAAAACTCGGATAATCCGAATGTACATATATGTATACCTATGAAGAGTGTAGATAAATATTCGTGACTGGCCAGTTATAAACAGAAGTTATTTTCTGGGGTATCAGTCTAAGGGCTAAATAGGTCTCAGAACTTTTATACTATGTATGGTATATTCTAGAAACTCGGTTAATACGGTCTATATTCCGTATCCTTGGATTTTTGGGTCTTTAGACTGGCTCGATTAATCCAGAGCTCGGATAATCGAGGTTCTATTGTAAATGTGAAAAATGTACTATTACCTTGCACTTACAAACCACAATTAGGATTTTTACCAGAAATAATTAATAGCCTATAATATTCTACTTGGGCTCAGAATGATTCTCGACTTTATTGGGTAACGGCTTACCTAATAAATAGAAGTGACACAATTTTTATGGATATCAAACGAAAATGCACTTTTATACAATTTATTTTTTTCTGGAAAACTACTAGAGGGAAAATTGTGAAATTTTTAGGAGAAAAAGAGGAAAGTCAGGAGATCAACAGACTAAAATTTCAAACTTTTTCAGTGAAAAATAATAAAATGGGAAATTAATGAATATGGACTTACCTTTGTCAAAAAACTGTCTAGAAGAAGATTCTTAGTATAGATTCTTAGAGTCATCCGACGACTTCTGGATTCTGTTTGTTTACAGGGGGGCTCACCTGAAAACAATAACACAGCGGCAGAAAAAATTGTTCATGTATATACAGGGTGATTAACGTAGCCCGTGCATTGGATTGCAGGTGGATTACATACACCATCTCTATTAATCCACCTGCAATCTGGAAAATTTAATGCACAAAGCAAGAAAAAGTCCTCAAAAAATTCAACTCTCCACTCACTTCAGTTTTTGAGTGAAAAAATTGTTTGTAGAGTATTACTTTACAAAACATCATTATTTAAAAAAAGTCATAACTCCATTAATAATAACTCAATTCAATCCCTTTGAGTTTTTACGTACGTCGGGCAGCTATGATTACGCATAAGTGTAGGTTTAGCATATACAGGGTGACAATTAGAAAAGCAGCAATCAGGAATATTTCTTAGACAAAAAATACTATTAGAAAGATCTTAAATATATAAGCTGTTGGATTATGGATACAGGTAAATTCGCCCCAATGACCATGAATTTCAAAAGGTCTACTTCAGCTGCTCAGGTATAGCAGATAAAATTCTATAAGTATAAAAACATTATCCTATTTCAATTTTTGTCCTATATCCTATTTCCAATATAACCCCTTCTGTTTTGGAGACGGGGCTTTTCCCCCCCCCCTAATTATTTTTCTAAAATGAGAAACACCCCTTTGAAGCCGTGACCATTTCATTTCAGCTACAATATAGAATATGATCAATTGACTCGTCATCTAGAAAACACATAAACAATTTTGCCTGCGGCAAAGTTGGAGAGCATTCAGCTATTCTATTAAAGCCCCATTATAGGCTGAATATTTACGTTGTGCAGCTGACACCCAACACCAAATTATAATTCAACCATTTCTCGCCAGTATTCGGTAGTGCCCCACTGCTACACTTACCGTATATAGTATATTCAATGTAACAAATGGGATCCTAACCTATTATGGTGGACGGCCTCCCCAGGGGACACCAATTACCAAAAAGATATGATCAAATCCTAATTTGTTGCTCTGGATAATCAGTGAAACGCAAACCCATAATATTGTAAATAACCCCATTGTAACTATATCTAAGATTAGTTTTTTACTGTAAATCAATGAATCCTCCCCTTTCTTCCACCATAAATGGTAGTTTACATGAACTGTAATCATGTAAAAATTAAAAATCGTTAATGTAAATAGAGGCTAAGATCCACTATAATATACTCTTTTTGAATAAATATAATCCTTATGTAATTAAATGGCATTTTCTTATTCATAGTATTTTTTGTCTCAGTGTTAAATTGTCACCCTGTATGTCCGACGTGGCCTAAATGGAAACATCACTGTCGGACAGTTTTGCCCGACGCGACATGCAAATGGTCTCTAAAAATTTCATTTTTTCGACATGGCTTCACAAAATCATCTATTACTCTGTTAATATTCTATATATTTCAATGTAAAAATAACTATTCTGAATCAGAGTTTAATGCTCTTCAAGATGAAACACGTTTCATTCCAATATTTGAAACGGTTCTGAAGATATGAACTTCTAAAGTTGAAACTTTGAGTCAGATTTCCATAGAGCTCTTTTGATCCTACATCAAAAATTATTTGAATTTTTCAAATTTCTGACTTTACCAGTCGAAAAATAACGTCAAATTTAGTAGAAAATCATTGTGACAACTTTATGTTAAAGGTTCCAAGGCTTGAAACAAATTGAAAACACTTATTGATGTACCTACGTTAATGACTGGCTTTTCAAAAGTGCACCCGATACCACTTTACAAAACATCATTATTTAAAAAAAGTCATAACTCCATTAATAATAACTCAATTCAATCCCTTTGAGTTTTTAGTATTTTTTATAATTGAGTCTTCAGGAAAAGGTCCCCAAAATTTCCACTCTACACTCACTTCAGTTTTTGAGTGAAAAAATTATTTGTAGAGTATTACCTACTTTACAAAACATCATTATTTTAGGAAAGCCATAACTCCATTAATAATAACTCAATTCAATCCCTTTGAGTTTATAGTATTTATTACATTGAGTCTTCAGGAAAAGGTCCTCAA